TGACGGAACAATTATCACGAGAAAGACTTATGGTGCAATACGAATTGTGCAAGGTGAGCTTCGATCAGTTACCTTTTCATTGGCAAATATGTGTTAGGCTAAATTATGTTGAAATTAAATTTAAATAGATATGTAATGAAATTTGAAGTTCACTATAATTACATTCTTTTTTAATAGATACTTTATGGAAAACTTATTTTGCTTTCGACATTATGAAGTAAGTTAACTGTAGTGTTATAGAGTTTTTACCTCATTGGTCGAAATGAGATAAAAACTTTGGGTCAAAATTTGATATAAAATATATTTTTTGGTTCAAATCAATAGCTACTGACTGCTTAAATTTTTTAAAGATTGAAGAATTTGCAATTGTGAATAATGTGAATAATTATGAGTAATGCAATTTAGTTTCTGATGTCTGTTGATACGATAGAAGATCGTCGCGGTCCTCAGTTGCTGCGACATTTCATGGAACTTGTTCGCAATCAAAATTCGTAAGTTACTTCCTTTTTTAATTTTTGCACATTAAATTGGTAAGTGTGGGTTATGCTATATAATATGATATTAGTTAATTTATCTTTGTTTGATTGTAATAGTGTCTCCATTGTATATTATGTTTATCATTGCATATTATGTTTATTATCATTCCGATGTAATTGTGATTTTGTTATGCTCTTCGAATTCATATTCATAATTTGTGTCTACTTTTAGCTACTACATGAATCGAGTGAAAGTAAATGAGGATTTCCGGCAAGATATGGCCAAGTTGGAAGAACGAATGATGACACGAAATGCAAATCGATGTGCCCAACGGAATACACTTTGGGATTTAAAAGGCCAGTTGGAAGCAAATGATGAGTTTACACGCTGCGCCTCAGGTAAATAAAACGAATATGAAAATTAATATTTTGACCAAATAAACGCTTTTAGAGTATTTTTATTTACGTAATTTTATTTTCTCGCTGTTGGGGAAAAGCTTCTGTTTGTCTCTTTAAGTACGTCTTTTTTTCACCTTAAATGAACTATCATTTGATGTGTGCTTCTGTGAGATACATAATTCCTTTACAACATTTTTGCAGGACGTCGATCGTCAGGACGTGATTCAGTGAATCTCGGTAGTCGTCTGTCGGGTGTCAATTTAGGCAATGTCAATAATGCACTTTTAATGGATAATGATCCGTTAAATGAATTGGCTACAAGTACAGCTTTTTTCCCAGATCTTGATTTTACTCAGTCCGGTTATTTATATAAGAAAAGTAATAAGAAATTGCATAAACAGTGGCAGAAACGTCGTTGCCGCATTGAAGATGGGCACTTCTGGCTTTCGCATTCTGATGTAATTTTTCTTATTCATTCTTCCGTTTTTTCTCAGCTTGATTTGTAAAAATCTTTCATATCTCGTTAAAATTACAACTTTCTATTAATGTCGAAATATTCATGTTCTCTTAGCTCATATACGATGATATTATATGACAACATAGCGTGAAGTGGAACAAACAAAAAAAGTCAGACATTTTGTATTCATTATAAGAATAAACCGCCAAAAGCCCACTTATCGTTGCGTGTATTTTTTGAGGAATCTGTACCACCAACAAAACTGAGCCTACTTGTGTCGGATTGTAAACCGTCAGCCGATGATCCGAAATCTTTCGATTTATATTGTCGTGAGAGGACATATCATTTGCAGGCTGATTCAGAAACTGATGCAAAAAGGTACGGAACTGAATTGAATTCTCTAAAATGAAAATTTTTATTAATGATTCGATTAGTTGCTACTCTATTTTTCAAGTCAATTAAATATCGTGATAGTTACAGATGGATGATAGTTACATAATGATAGTTACAGATGGATGATAGTTACATAGTGATAGTTACAGATGGATGCTGGCATTAAAACGAGAAATAACAAGAGTTAAGACCAAAATGCTGTCCGCTGAAACACCGCAGGGAAGTGAAGGCGGTAGTAATGGTACTATTTCGGAAGTGTGCGAAAGAAAAATGTGTGTTGCAAAAGTACGCCAGCTTCCTGGTAATAACATATGTGCTGATTGCTCATCAAAAGAAGGTTTGATATTTACTACAATTGAATTAAAATATTGTAAAAAGTCATTTTCTGGATGGTCTTCAGACAAATTGAAATTTTAGCAAATAATTAGAAAAATTGAACTTATTTTATGCATTTAAAAAAGAGAGTGCCAGTTAAGAAATTTTCAGATGTGCAGTGGTTATCAAATATTGGTGCACTAGTGTGTATTGCTTGTAGTGGTGTACATCGTGAATTAGGTGTTCATGTAAGTAGGATACAATCGCTAAATTTGGATGTTATATCACCGCTGGAGTTTTTTGTAAGTCTCATTTCAAATTAAATGAGCGCTGTAAAGAAATTTCTTCAGCTTATACTTTTAATGAAGTTGAATATATTCTTCGGTCGACCTTGTTTTAGTTCGAAACTTTGACGATGATTAGAATTATTTTTTAATTAACTAGGTACGCAAATTTATTAATACTTCAAAGAAGATAGATTTTCAGTTTTAAGCAATTGTTTTTATGTTTATTAATTGTCTTTCAGGTTCCACTTTCATCAGGTAATGTTATGATCAATCGTTTATTCGAATATGATGCAGCTAAATGTGCAACATGGAAACCAGTTCCGGGATGTACAAGGTACGTGTAACACTGTTATTTTATGTAATTGATACTGTTATTCAATTGTTGCTACTGAGAAATGTGTCACTATTTATTGATTTTGTTTGATAAATGAAACAAATTCAGTAACAGCTCATTATTTGAGTAATTGTATCTTATATAACCGCAAATCCAATATTTTTTCGCTAATCATATATTATGCGAATTCGGTTTTTGGTTTTACCATGGGTGTAATGAAGCAGAAATGAAGTTCTATGATTTTCAGATTTGATCGTCAGCGTTTCATCCAAATGAAATATCGCGATCGCGCTTTCGTACAGAAACTTGATGATCCTGATGCATTTCTAGCTGAAGCATTTAATAATTGCGATTTTGAGAACGCATATAGGTATAAGTGTCGTTTTATTAACTCTTAATTTTTATTGAAAAAAAGACTATATTAATCGTGCTAGCAAACCACTTCAAAGTATTTTAATATATTTTAGAGCATTGCTCAGTCCAAATTTAACGAAGAAGCCATTTTTACGAAACGGATCATTTCATCAAATGGTTCTATGCGGAACTTCCTTATCGCTGCCTCTTGCGGATTTGGTTATACAGCTAAGGTTTTTCTTCTCAAGTTTTGACGGATCTAAATTCTAATTTCTTAAAATATCGATTAAAAATAATTCAAAAAAGGATATGCATATATGATACCATACATGATATATGATACCATATATGATATATGATACTATATGATACCATCTCCTTCAACTATTTTTTCAGAATTGAGATTTCTGATATGGAAGCGATAATGATAGATTGCATCCACTCTGGGAATGCCGATATGGTAGCCGTTTTATTACGCTACCGCTCTTTAAGTTCCACCGTTCGTGGCATACATCTGAATTCACTTATTACATGTTCTGAGAAAGCTCAACAAAAGAAAATAACTGAAACGGTACAATTTATTGCTGATCTTACTAAGCAGTCTAAGCGGTGATCTAAATATACGAATAAGAGATCAGCCATCCCGATAACTGTTGTTGAAACAAGAAATTTCGTCGATAACTGTACAATAATTAACGGAAGCCGGATACTTTTGTGACTTCCATCAATTATTCAAGTTTACAGTGTTTTCTTTCTTCAAATACATCTGTTGCTGTCTTTGTAATTTTTTTATAGCTTTTAATTGTGAACTCCCTTATGTCTCATTATCTCTATTCCTGTACTGCAGGATTTTGTATCTTTTAGGAATTTATCTTTATCCATATTATTTTTCGATGTAACAAAACTTGAATTTTTCAGTTGCGGTCACTGAAGTTGGGTGATAGTACGCAAGCGCAAAATGTGACTATTCCACCAATTTTGTTTGTTTCTACACCAGATTCAAGTAAGTATAATGAATTATAAAAATATAAATAAGGAATTTGGTATAAGAAACAAGTGAAAATTGCGAAATCAAACAAAAATTGAGAACATTCAGATTTCAAGAATTTTAAAAGCATTTCTTACAGCATCGTTGAGTCGATCGTCATCTTCCATTTCTCCTTGTCCGCATCTTCCATCTGAATCAACTATTTCTCAGAATTTCACATCTAAACCAGTTAATGTTCTCATGCGAAATGGTACCACTATCTCGGTCCCACAATGTACTTTTTTATTCACTATTGTTACTTTCAGATGTTAATTATTTTGGAAATTTTAATTTTGTGATATTTTTGATTATATATATAGAAAATTTTTGCACAGAAATATATTTAATTTGCTTTAAAATTTATTTTGTGAAACGCATAGCGGTTGCAAAGTCTTGATATATTTATTTTTCACTTATTAATATCGAAGATATTTTGTAGCATCTTCATCTACAGAAGACACCAGAGTCAATCTCTTATCTAAGCAAATTTTTGCTGAGAATGAACCTGTTTATTCTTCGGTTGAAGGAGATACGGTCCAGGTCATTGCTTCGGGATGTCCTTCATTAGGTTATACACTACTTTAATTCTTGATTTTTTTTGCTTTCGATAAACATTCTATTTTATCATGTTGACGCGGCGGTTCAGTGTTTGAAACTGATTTACAGACATTTGTGTTCATAATAATACACAACCGACCAGTCCCATGAACTACAATGGCGAAAGAGATTTACTGGAATTCGAAGTACCCCTCGGTACTTCGGCGCCATCTAGTATTGCCCCGCCAATCAGAACCGCTATTTCAAACCATTACTCTGAGGTAAATTTTCAAATATTGAGTATTTTGAGAAGTGTTGTGTATTATTGATATTGAATGTTATATTATAGAATTTATTAATGTTTCTTGTTTTGGCAAGAAATTTTTGAGCATAGTCATCAGAATCCCAGGTATTTACAGAAATATAATAACAGAATCTTTTCTGACTGTGAATGCCACTTCTGCTTTACAGACATTACCGACTTCTTCCACATCACCGATTTCGGCTCTCCCGATGCAAAAGAAAGCAAAGTGTTATGTTCGATCAACTAGCGAATACTCACAAACAATGAATCATTCTGAAGTAAGAATCCCCTGATATCAGTGAATCATAGTCAAATTCCTTTGTTTATGTTTACATAATCATTTAAAATGATGTTCATCATGTATTTTATTCCTAGACTAAAAAGGCTTGTTTCAGGAATCCAGTAATAGGTCGGGCACGATTAGATCTCTTCCTGGACATCTTGTTCCACAAACCAGTTCCACTAAAGGTGAATTTTTAACATAATTTCATCCAGGAACGCTTCAATTTTGAGAGCTTATTGCGGTGTGCGAAGTAATGATCTATATTAATACACTGAAGTATCTCTTTTTTGAATTTCAAGCAAGCTGATATAGCACTGTGCTGTTATTCGGCTGAATTTTTATGAAAGAAATACTGCAGACGCAGTAGCGATTGAATACTTTGAAATTTTGCTCCACGAATATAGTAAGGGTGAGTGCAAGCGAAGCTTTGGTAATTGTACTGACATTTTAGGTTAATCGAGACATGAATGACACATTAAAGGGATGCTGTCGATCTTCGCAAATAATACTTTCTTTCCAGGTAGTGATGGAGTAGTAGAAACAACATTCCCGATCGTTGCTTCGATGAGTCGTAATCCTCTTCGTTTGAATACTCAGATGCAGGAGATGAATATATATGTAGTCGCTCCTGGAAAGGAAGAAATAATTAATAAAGAGAAATGTGTTGCAGAAACGCCGAATGAAAGGGAAGGGTTTGCAAGAAATCCATATCCTATGGATGAGCAAGGCTAGTGTGGTGGATTTTTTATTTCTAATTTCCGAAAACTTTCACTAACAGTATTTCATTTCACTGCTTAAATTTTTATTCATTGTGACACTATTTCAACTCGTGGGAAGCTGCTCACTGAAATATCCTTTCAGTTTTTTATATCGGTTTTTGCATGTAACTATTAGCTTTCAAATTTATTGAAAGATGCAAATTATAGAATGTTATAAAGCTAAATTAAATTTGCACAATATTATTTAAATCGTTTTAAGATTACCTTACATTTATAAGATTCAAGGTCAAAGACTATTTGAGAATTTCCTATATGTTTCAGAATGTGTTAAAGCAACTTCATCGGCTTTTGATCAGGCACTTGCAAATTTTACGTCGTATGATGAATATCCTCGCTCTTCTCCAAATTCGTTAGCAGCGAATGGTTTACAGAGGGAAATGCCTCGATATATATCGAAAAACACGCGGTTAACACGACCGGCACCTGTACCACCAGCATTAATCGGTGTCAAACTAAAACCGCCGATCCCGGCGCCAAGACGTTTTCCATCCCTCACCAGAGGAAATAAACAGGTTATCAAAATTCAAATATTGCCGGTTATGGTTTTTGTGCATTCCTCTTGTAGTGGTTATGTACATCTGTGAAAATTATTTTATCTCCTGCTGATATTTCTGAAGTTAACCAAAATTTAGAATTAATCTATTAAACTGATTTCAATTGGAAGATAAAAGAGTAGTGTAATAATAATAATATAGTTAATTATTATTCTTAGTGCTGTTATGGTTAGTTTGCTCAGTTCAGTTCTCTAAGATTTCCGTAAGGATTCTATCGCGTCTTATGATTGAATCTTGAAATAAGAGATTGTGTGCACAATGAAATCCGAATGACCACTATATTTTTAAGCAGTATAGTCATTTAAACCTATGCACTATTCATCAGTTCATGTCTTTATCTTTAAAGGTATTTAACAAAAATAAAAATATGAAAATTTTAGAGAGATAGTGCGCGACGCTGTCGAGCTTTATATGATTGCAAAGCTGATAATTCTGATGAGTTATCATTTCGTCAAGGTGACATAATAGTGATTACGAAAGAAAAAATTACTGGTGAAAATGATACCTGGATGGTAAGCCTGTTTTTACTAAAAGTGAGATCATGAAATTATTTCAGTGGTGAGTGGAGTGAATAAGCTATTTATTTTTTAAAATATTTACTTCCTTATGGCAGTTTTCCACATAACTTCCATGTTTTTAAATTGAAAGCAGAATTTACTGATAGAATAGTAATGTATTTGTAACGAATTAATAAAATTATTAATTCTCTACTCTCAGAACTTACCCTAAGATTAAACCGGGTAAGCATATTTGAAAATTTTTCTTTGAGTCAGATGAGCAGAAATCTAATTTCTTGCTGTTCAGTTAATTTAACTTCATTGTGAATTATATATCTGTTATTAAGTTATTATCACTTCATTTCTCACAGAATTAATAAGCTAACATGTGCTGGTTTTTAACCTTCTTTACACTTCTGAAAAGTGAATGAAGTTATATTGACTTCTGATATATTCTAAGTATGCTTTAGCATATCGTCTAGTACTTAAGGTATATTTTATGAATATATATTGTTGATATTGAGGTTCAAATCACCAATTTTCAGGAAGGATATTTAGAGAACAATCCGTTGTGTAAAGGTGTATTTCCGACAACATTCGTCACATTCCTTTCTTGAGTATTATTGCATTTCTAAGCATGGTCGCTTATTATAACAGCCCTATAATTCACGTAACATATCATTTAAGTTGTTTATGATTATCAGTTTATGAGCTTTAGCTTTATTATGACACATCACTTATGCTTATTTCTCGATGTTATAGCTTTGTAATAGAAGGAAAGAATTGTATTAGAAATGGTTCTTTCGCAAAATTTTGCAATTGTGGAAAAACCAACTTTTGTTTGCTAAATGTGACTGTTCAAATTCCGCTGTTTTGCGTGATGTAGCTTATAAAAGGTATCACAAATTACAAAATTTGAATATCAGAATTACAAAATTTGAATTTCAGATAGATGGGTTTCGTTTTCCTTTTTTTTTCCTACTGATTTAGTATTTTTAACTATTGAAGCAAAATTCTAACTACCATCATCTTTTTCTTTTATACATTGCCTCTTTTAAAATGTTCCTTATTTATTCACTTTTTTATGCTCAGTCCAGTCTTCCATTCTGTGCTTGCATTCTTAGTGACAGAATAGTTCAGCTTGTGATGAGAAAGTTGAGCATAATTGCTAGGAAACTTCGAAGTATGGTAGCAAGGAGCTGAGAAAATATTATTTTGAAAGTCGCTTTTAAGCGTCACGACTTTATTACTTAGATCATGTATAATTTAAGCTGTAAGTAGAAAATTCTTTCAGGATGAATACATCAAGCTTTTCATTAGGAATTTCCATACCAAACCAATAAAATGTGTTGTTTATGTGCATTCTAACCATGCAACTATAAACATAATAATTCCTATGAAAATCCCTGAAACAAAATGTTTCATTTTGTTACTTTTGAAATTGTTGTTCTAATATTATAGTTTCATGGTGTCATTATAGGAGCACGTATTTTTTCAAAGTTTAGTTTCATCATATAGGTTATTTAATTAGTTATTTCATTAGTACGTGCTACCTCGCTTTGTGTTTGTTTTGATTTAAAATAAATAATTTTCTTATAATAGTTGCTAATAGAATTGCTCGATAACTTAGCTGTGAATATTTGCGTACTTCTGTTTGATTCATTTTTGTGCAATTTATTGGGCATAAAGCTTAAATGTGGTGCCAAGATGATCATTCTATGGTACAGTGCATATGATGTACAGATGATAGATGATTTCTAAGATTTTAGAGATCCCGAAAAATTGAGTGCATCAGTAAGAAAGACTCTGACATCAAAATTAGAAATAATTAACCAATCTCTGTTTTGATGGCCACTTTTCGATTGATTGCTGCTGTATTACTTACTGATTTGTATGAAATTTTTAGGGATCGCAGCATGCAGGCGAGGAAATTAAATCCTCGAAATGTTGAATTATAATGCATAGGGGTATCGAGAAATATAAAATAATTCGAATTTGGAAGTGTATTGGCTATGTTTGATATTCAGGGAGCTATAGTAATGAGCAAAGTTGAGATTTTATTTATGATTTCTATTATTAATGATTCATATATATTGTTAATTTTTGTTAGCTCTTGCTATTCAGTCCAGTACTATGATAAAAAATGGTTAATGCACAGAAAGTATGGTGATGTTTGTATTAATAGTTTTTGATTTAGAGTTTATGTCAACTAATTATTTTGTAGTATTTGAGATTAATTATTCGGTTTTTTTTTGGGAAAATGGAAAATAATTAGCGAGCCGTTAAATCAGTTGTTTTGAGGTACATAATTTTATTGTAGAATGGATAAATTTTGTGCTGGTGAACTGAATGATTGATAGTGATGACAAGTCTCTCAATGCGAAATGTTACATGCGATTATTACTTAGAAAAACCAAATGGTTTTAACAAATTTCGTCTTCGTACCAATATTAAAGTACCAATCATACGAATGTTTGGTATCTTGCAAACAGGTTATCATTTTACTGTTGCTTGTTTTATTGATTTCAAACTTAGTACAGCAAAATTAGATTCAGGCCTTTTTTTTAATATTGTCTTCTTGAGTAAAAGCGCAAATTATACACCAAAAAAAGCAAATCACTTGCCTTATTTTGTTATTAATCGTTCCGGATTGCAATTCACAATATTGATTCAATGTTAAACTTCCTGAGCTTCCATTCTTTTGTTCTGTCATTTCTTAACAATTTTCCTCTCGTTAATTTATAAAAATATGTAATTTTATATTTTTAATAGGTCAAAAATGTTGTGTACACGTACATGGTGTATTCCCATACATAGTGATTCGAAGTGGTGTACAATTTACACCGGAATTTGCTTTGTTGTTACGTAACAAAATTAATGCAATTGTTTCGGATTGCAATCCACTATATAAATTCAATATTAATTTTGCAATCTATCAAATTAAGTCAATAACTGCCAGGTAAATTGAACCTTTTTCTTTTTAAAGATGATCAGGAAATTTTTTTTTTTTTTAACAGTAAATAACTATAAATAATTACTGGTTATTGGGAAAAGTTTATTCCATTATGCATTAGCATTTAGAGTGTTTTCCAGATCATTGTATGGTTATCATAAGGACAATGAAAATTTTGTGCAAATTCTTTGTTACAGTCCACTTCAACTTAGAATGTATGTTTAAATTGCACAATATTTCTGTTGAAGTGGTGTAATATTTTCTGTAACATAAGAGACGTTCAGAATTCGGAATTTTACTCTGTTGTTTTATACATACATATAAATTGAAATAAAAGTATTTATCAAAAAACCATTTAGAAAGATTAAATTTTACCGTTTTGATGGTTCTTTTTGTTAATATTTTGTTTGTTATGATATAGTTGTTACACAATCTGAAAATATGGGTTTTACAGACTACATAGCAAGAACTTAATATATCAGGTATATGAATCGTACCCTGTGTTCTACAATTCATTAATATGCTTCCATCCGTTTCTAATAATTTGCCTGAACTGATCGAAATTTAAAAAGAAATACTAGAAATTTTTCTAGTGTAGCAAATGCTCTACAGAAGGAAGCAAAAAAGAATTCAATGTTTCAAGTGTATGAATCGCATGTACCCTATATTCTACAGTTTTTCGTAGATCATTCCATATTTGGCATGGATTTAGTCAATTTCAGTTCAGTTAAATTCCGTGTATCTCCGAAACAAAATTTCAGTGGTTTGTTCCGTTATCATAACAGTCTTATAATTCACCGTAGCGCTTTTTTCCTAATCCGATCATTCCACACACCATCAATTGCATCATCAATAGAAACAAAAAAGTGTTGTGATACTTTTGTAATTAATCTACTCTATGTCATTGATCGCTTTCGCAGTTCCCGTTTTCAACACTCTGTAGCTTCATATAAATTCGTCTGATGGTTTATCAGTTTCTTTTATCATATTGTTTTTTTTTTTCATATTCTCTTCAATGCCAGCAGTTCTCTGGAAGAAACATGTTGTTTTTCAGATTTTTATTATCAAGATCTGAAAGTCGAGAACATCGTTAACAAGTGAGATGATCTAGTTTTATGCATATAACTTGAAAAGATTAGACATTTGTCCTTTGATCTTTCTTTCTTAACACATTTTCATTCCTAAAATAACATGAATTGCATATGTAATGTGCTATTCACTGACATTCCGGAAAATGAATGTATCAACGTATTTGTAACGCTTGTTTGTAGTGTGGAGCTCGTGTCGCCGTTGTTACCTTCTACCACTGCAGCTGTTGAATGCGATGTTTTCTCCGCGGATATTAACAATGTTTCTCTCCATTCCACTTCAGGTCGGCTTTCTACTTGCATGAGAGAGGAAAATATGAAGTCAAGTTTTCATCAGAAATTTCGCCATTATGTCAAGAGTTGACAGCGATCTTTCATATTTTGATTCACAATTACAGTTTCATGTTTAGAAATGTTCAATCCGGGATTGAATTATATATGGCAAGACGAACAGCGACGTCGTCAAGAGAAAAGTGAAGAACTAATTGACGAGTCACAAAGTAGATTTCAAAAATTGTTTTGCTTTTGATTTCAGAAGAATTTCATGGGTCTAAAATTATAAGCTTTTGATGTATTGCTCTCATCAGAAAGATTGGTTTGATTAACAAAACGAAATCTAAATCTAGAAGTTAAATTGTAATATATTTTCTAATAACAAGTTTTTAGAAGAAAGGCCATCACCGAATACTGAAAAAGAAAACGATTATTTAAATCGTTTACATATTTTCTTCAAAAATACCGGTCCCAGTGTTTCTTTTAGCTCTGCACAGAAAGACGCTTTATATATTCCAAGGGGTAAGAACATTTTCACGTTTCAGTTTTGTTAGAATTTAATTTCATTAAATCTGTAGTATTTCAAACCAATTATAGACATCAGGAAAGTTGAAGGAAGTGATCCTTTTGGACGTGATTTTGAAGCAGCAGAAACTGGTATATTTGACGAAGAACTATTTTTGGAAGTTGAAGATGAGATGAAAGAGGTGGTGGAAGACAATGAACAAGAAGTTGAGGAGGTAGTTTCATCAAAATTAATTGCAGAAATTCTTGAAATATGGTAGCAGAAAGTACGGCGGAATAATTTAATTGAAACTGCAGGATTTCGATTTGGGAGAAGAAATTGGAGCAGTTTTTGGGCCAGTAAAGTCTACAGATGCTACAAGTGGCAATTTAATACATTCTCAAAGTACAAGATTGCCTTAATTTTGAAAGCTTCTTTGGACAAAAGTATTAAATGATTTTTATCTCAGTATTTAGATTTGAAAATTCAAACAAAGTTGTCTGGAAATTCTGCACTGTTTCGTGGCCTCTCATGCACATTTGATTTCGTGAGATTTGTTATTTGTTTTATTTTTTAATAAATAATCGTCAAACACTGCTTAGAGAAAACTAACTCGTGCACAAAATTTTTATTTTTGATTTCATATTATTTCTTATGTTATTTATTCACTGAATCATCGCTTATTTTAGTGTTTTATTTGTTTGTCATAGATTCCTGCTCATTTCAGCACTGCGATCAGGATTGCAACAATTTGATCCAGGAGTTTCTGATGAAAGTGATAGCGACGATAGCGCTATCGAGGATGAAATGGCTTCCGATACATCTAATGTTGAAAACGTATCCGAAGTTGGAAAATCTGATAGCCAGCAGGTCTAGCGCAATGGACAAGATTTTTAAAATTTGACGATTGTTTTATTGGTTTTTTTAGCAAATTACTTGGGATTTCTTATAATACTATGAATAATTAATTAAAAATTTAAGAAAAACATGACATCAGATAAGAATTTTATTTACTCGATTGAAAGAAACTGTTTTGCTTATTTAGATGTTTCAAAAGTAGGTCACATGTTTATTCATTTGTTATTCAATTAAGCAATTTTTTTTTGTTTTCAGAATACTTCAAGCTCATTTTTGCTTCTGTAATGAAACATAAATATTGCAAAGGTTCCACACTAATTATGAAATCTCTTACAGTCAACTAATAGCAACGATTTGTTTGAAAGTCAACCAGAAAATATTAGAAGCTCAACTGTTTTAGCGATTAGTTCTGGCCGTTCGGGAGAAGGTTCAGGAAATTCCAGAGCATCATCTCAATATTCAATTTTTTCATTTTTATCTAAAACTTCACAAACATCTTCGAATAGGGCTTCTGAAAGGTATCAATCAAACTTATTCACATTTGGATATATAACCTTGATTTTTTCTTACAAAAATCCAAAAAATATTCATTAGACAATTTTTTAATTCTTATTACCTTAGTAAATGTTCATACCGGAAAATAAAAAAATAATCATGTAGCATTTCCAGTGGCGAAAGAAGTCAACTTCCTCAACGCAGCGATGATTGGATTGAAAATGAGGTTGTTGTTAAAGTCAGCTTAAATACTTTCAGATATTCGTACTTTATTTTATTGTTTTATAGCTTCCTATGATTTTATTTACAGCTTTATTTAGGAGGTTATCAATTGTGCACAAAGTTATGAAACGGATATTGAGAGTGCCTGGATTCCGAGAGGCCAGCAAAAGTTTGTTTTTCAGAACGAGTAAGCTTTTTTTTCAGTTGACCGAAATTATTTTCTTTACACACTTATGTTGCTCTAAAATATTGACCAAGTATGCCGAGATGTCATATCCATACAGATTCTTAAAAAGTAGTTTGATTTTCAAGACAATTTGCTATAAAATCTAAATTTTTTTTTGTTGTGTATTGTTATGATCTCGATAAATTTTTATTTTGAATATTATTTACAAAGTTAGTGTTTTACAGTTTAGAGCTAATGTTTTCGAAAAGTGAACAATGGTTACGTCCTTCTAAACGACTACCTCTTCGAAAGAGGATGAGTAAGATATGTGATATTGAACCTTTCACTACAGATATAGGTTTGAGTTTTTTTACTTGAAATTTTGTACAAATGTTAGGTTTATTATGAATAGTTGCATTTTTATGCATCTCATTATCCAGGTAATAATTCGATCATTCGCTTGAGGGGGAGCATTAGTGCATCTAATGAAATAAAATCTTTATATGAAGAGTACAAAGGATATATTTCTTTAGGAGAATCCATTGAAAGTACATCTCAATCGAAAATGGCAACAGCTGAAGAGCAAGCTTCCGCATCCTTCACTGAAGAACCCAGTTTCATCAACGTAAATTTTTATTAACTAAACAGTTGAGGAAAAAAATATAAATTTGGAATAGAGAATATAGAAATTTGATTTGATTTTAAAGCTGTTAGATTAATGAAATTTTCAGTACGAAAATACAAAAGAAAAATTGGACCAAACTTTAGTTGTCCCTTCAGTAACTCCATCGACTAGTGAAATTGAACAATCAGATATTCATCATCTCTGCGCAATGTCTATGGAGATTCTTGCATTACCATCGCGTGGAATGCCAGTACCAGATCCACAGTATGATCAGGTCAGGTATATGTATTATATACAAAAAAATGTTTTTATTGCTTCATTTTAGTAATATTCCGAATCTTAAATTGTTATTATTTGGTACGTATTTTAGATTTTGAGTATATTTTATACAGTTTCGATGGATGTTTGCATACAAGATGAGATAAATAACGTTGACGGTGTTTTGTTGAACATGGATGAAGAGCTGGTTGGACAGAATGAGCATTATACTTTTGTAGCTTCTGAAATTGAGCTGTATGATGCTTTTGTTAATGTTGTTCGGAGGTTAGTTTTTTCCACTTTCCCTCCAATTACTTCAAAAATATTATTTTCTTTCATTGTAATACGTCTTATCTTTGTTAGGATCACTTTCACACAGATTTCGTGGTCAGTTATTTAGTGATTGTTTTAATAGAAATATCGTAACAGGAATAATGTAACTTTAGAGAATAAATATAGTAACTTTACAGAATTGCAGATACGATCCGGATATAATTATTGGATACAATACGCAGCGCTATTCTTGGGGTTATCTGATTGAAAGATCGCTTGCCATTGGACGGAACTTGTTATCCGAAATTTCACGCGTTCCTATCGGTACACGCTTCACCTTTTTTCTTCAATATCTCATTTTACAAACCATTCAGAAATTCAAACGAAGCATGCTTAATTTCTTAGCAGTTAATCCTTTCAATACTAGAAAAGTATCGTGAAGTTACAAAGTCATTCGGCTGAAAAGGATGAGAGTGGGGGAGAAAGAAGGTAAGAAGTAGTATTATGACGCTTCGAAGATCCTCATGTTTTGTTTATCACTGTCGTGTAAGTGAAAGTTTAGTCGACCTAAAATTAAACGAAGTAATCACTAACATTCAGTTAGCATTAGGATAAATTAGAATACTATATTAACGATCATTTTATGGCTTTCAAAAAATTTTATCATATTATATGAATTCAATTTTTGCAGAGATCAGTGATTATTATCTTTCTGAGAAGCAGAAAAAAGGCCGGTGGACAAAAGTGTTAGATCCAACTCCAAGAGGTAGAATACTTATAAATATGTGGCGTTTTCTTCGACACGAAATTGCGCTAAGGTTTGATTCTTTTCATCTTATTTGAGTACAAGAATTTGCCATTAGTTTATTTTCTTCATGTTTCACCGTACACAAGTTATTACATAACTTCCGTCTATCGCATCATTCATTTAAAATTTTTTCTTTCAAAAAAGTTATCATTCGCATCATTTTTTGCTCATAGACAATTATATTAATTTATAAGAGTTATGAAATGTGCCAGTTTTGTATAAAGAAAATATGGATGAGAAACTTACTTGGTAATAATTCATATCGGCGATACCAACATTCAAATACTCTAGCCGAAAAATACGCAAAAACTGTATTACCTTAAGACCTTTGCAAAAATAATTACGATTTCTGCACCATTCAACCCGACCACTTTATATTATGACGTGTTTTTCGAATATGAATAGCAGTATTATATATCATATGTGTAGGCAGTATTATATATCATATTATAATCATATCTAACATCAATGCTCATTCTGATGTCACTCATTCTACTGTTTTATAACATATTCTACTAATTGTAAAGACAAGAAAGCTGATAAATGAACTAACTGAAGATCAGAATTGTCGATTTGGGTGTTCTTTCTATATTATCAAATTGCAACAAAACTTGGGGAATGTACGATATCAACTCATGATAAGGATCTTAATGACTGCATAGAAAGAAATTTTAAAATGATTTTTAAAATCATGTTTACTCGAAAAAAACGGTCACTGTTTTATGGCTCATGCCATTACGGCTTTTTGAATCCCGCAGAACATTACATGTGAGAAAAAAGTTTAATGTCTTCAGCTTTCAAAATTCAACTGTAATGGTGTACTTCTTATGCACCATAATGCCCCATCACATATCAGCAACCAGCATTTCAGTAGGCAACAAAGATTTGCTTTAGCCTGCCGTGTTTATCTCACTTTTCATCAATGTACAATCACTTCTTCAAGCATTTCGATCACTTCTGGTGGCAAAATGTTTTCATAATTGGTTAAATTCAGAAACTACTCTCAGAATTCGAAGATAACGAAACATATTTTTCTTTGGTACAGGAATAAACAAAGTTATTTTTAGTTGATATAAAATATACAGTTATCAGAGTTTTGATTTTGATTAGTACAATATATCTATAGACTGGTTTTAATCACTTGAACTTTACGGTTCAAAAATGTAGTTGTTTTTTGCGTTAACATAATACTGGTAGGAATATTCAAAAAATGCATATTTTTTCATTTCAGGAATTATACTATTTCAAATGTCGTTAATAGTGTTTTGAAGCGAAGATTTCCTCACTACAGCTTTCCAACGCTCTCAGATTGGATTTTATCTGGCGAAAGGGATTTGATGTAATTCGTTTTTTGTTTTTTAAATTGTTATTTTTTTTAGTTTTCATTTAATCAAAAGAAGGCAACCTTAATTTTTGATGTATCATTTTTAACAATCTAATTTTGTTAATCAAATCATGGGTAAGAAAACATCATAAAACATTACTATGATCTCAGCATATGAAATGTTATATTTTTTATCGCTACGAAAAAACATCTAAGAAATAGCTTATAGAATAAATAGCGTGAAAGGCAGAGTAGTGAAATGGAGAAAGTTAAAAGCCATTCTCATTAATAATTATTGTTCCAAAGATTTGAGAGATTAATAGCTTTTAAAATATTAACTTTTGAGTGGTATTAAACAATTTCTGATTTTTATCTCAAATATTGTTTGCATAATATTTAGTATACTGGTTCTGAAACATATGAAGCTTCATTGTCAACTGGATCTTCTGATCCTTTTGCGATTGGATTTTTTCACGAGAACATCCGAAATGGCACGTCTTTATGGTATACAGGTATTTTGATTTTTACCGTCTTATGATTTGCGAGATCAATCATATTTTGAAATGTTTTGAATTTAGTTCAATGAAGTACTAACACGCGGTTCGCAATTTCGAGTTGAATCGGTGCTTCTGCGACTTGCACGTCGAGAAAAATATGTTGCTCCCAGTATCTCTCCTGCTCAGAGAGGAGCGTAAGCTTTCTTTTGTTTTGAAGTGACATGGCATGTTATGGGAACTTCGTTTTTTGCTCAATTCAGTTCATTTTTTTGTATTCCTTCCATTCTTCGTATTTATTAATTTTTTTTTCTTTTTTTTCCAGAATGTGCTCACCAGAGACACTACCATTGACTATGGAACCGGAATCAGATTTCTATCGTGATCCAGTTATTGTGCTCGATTTTCAGTCCCTCTATCCATCTATCATTATCGCTTACAATTACTGCTTTACCACTTGCTTGGGGAAGATATCGCATGTTGAGAATATCTGCTCAGCAAATAGATTAATCGAATTTGGTGGTTTGGAATATAATTGTCCGGTTCGCTTGTAGTGTCTTCTCCATTAATTATGTCTATAAAAGCTATATTTCTTTAATTAGTTAATTTTGCTATAATGTTGATTTGTTTATCACAGCACATATTCCCTTGCATTTGTTGTCAAGCGCCTTTTTATTCCTTTCTTTCTGCTTTCAAAACTAACTTATTTCAAGAATTTGTTTCTGAAGAGCTTCGGTTGCTTCAGTAATACTACCTTTTCATAAATTTGTTCAGATAGATCATATCGCTTCAATGCTTGCCACTAACAGCTTGCACATATCGCCAACAGGAGCTATTTTTTGTCGAAAAACTATTCGAAAGGGTTATTTTTTCTTATTTTCAAATTTTCATTTGATTTCAGAATATCATTTGCTAGTTCTGCGGTAATCTTTCTTTTAATAATTTATTGATGATAATTTCAGGTTTGATGCCTATGATGCTTGAAGAAATTTTGAATACAAGAGTAATGGTGAAAAAAGCTGCAAAGGAATCCAAAAAAAATCGAGTACGTTATATATCTTTCTTTTGTAGACGGCGGTAGTCTCTACTTTTTTCAATCGTTAGCGCGACTTTTGTTTATTTGCTTTTTTGATATTCGATGTAAGAACAAAGAATATTAAAGCTGCAGCAGTTGTCCACAGAATAGAAATAGAAATGTTTAAAAGCCTGAATTATTATTATTTTTAAATGTGAAGAAAATTACAAAATTTTGCATCATGTATAACAAACACAGTATTGGTTCTTTTAAGTATGTTTGTGTTTATCAAAGATGATATTGTAGCCGTTAGAGACGTTAATCATTGTTTGATAAGACTGACGTAAAATTGGAATAATCTTTTTATATCGTAATATAATTTAAATAGAAAGTTCCACAGTGGGAACTCCTCTTAAAAAAGATAGAATCGATGCAGAAATTATAAATTAGCAGTTGGAAATTAGGCATATGATAAAGCATAGAAAAATTTTCTTAAGCAGGATTTCTATTAAAATTTGTCTCATAACATTTTCATTTTCCTTCAAGTTTACATAAATGATTTTCTTAAAGCGAGTTGCTCGTATATTGGAGGCACGACAAATGGCGTTAAAATTGATCGCGAATGTAACATACGGTTATGCAGCAGCTAATTTCAGTGGTCGAATGCCATGTGTCGAAGTGGCTGACGCCATTGTAGGCAAGGTTAGGTTTAAATTCCGTTCTGAAACAATATTATAAGGCAAAAAGCATAAACAGTAAGTGTTCTAGGTCTTTTGACAATTTATAGCATTCTAGGGGAGAGAAACTTTGGAGAGAGCTATGAAATTGGTCAGCGAAGGAGCTTACGGAAGTTTACGAGTGATCTATGGTGATACTGATAGCATGTTTGTAGTTTGCCCAGGTTTATTTTTATTTTAATTTATAAATTATGATAATCAATTTCCAAGTAATTGAGAGAATATTAGACAACGTACAATAATTAGTAATGGCTATATGGATATTATAAGCAAAGCAGTGCCTAAATGTGCGAATGATTTTACGTCTATAAGTTTTTTCAGGAGCAACTCGAGCTGAAGCCTTTGATATTGGCAGAAAGATTGCTGATGATGTGACCAGAGTAAATCCGAATCCCGTGAAGTTAAAATTAGAAAAAATTATGCATCCACTTATTTTGGAATCGAAGAAACGATATGTAGGAATGAGCTATGAAAGTATTGATGATGTGGAAGGTATCTTTGATGCCAAAGGAATTGAAACAGTTCGAAGGGATTCATGTCCGCTTGTTTCAAAGGTTAATTTACGCTTTTTTGTCAATATAAGTAAAAAATGGTTTCCTTTCCAATTTTAAGATAATCTAAATAACAACAACGGTAATCACTGGAAATTGGCAGATAACTAAAAGTTTTCATCAGTGATCTTTTGCCATTTTTTATGCATATCATATCACTGGATTCTATTTTAGATTTTAGAAAAAGCGTTGCGTTTACTATTTGCTAATGATATGAACCGGATGGTACGCTATCTGGATCTACAACTTTCAAATCTTCCGCAGCTTCCTTTATCCGATTTTATTTTTAGTCGTGAATATCGGAAATCATATGCGGAATCTGCGATTGTAGCATCGAAGTTGATAGCCGAGTGAGAATTAAAAAAATTTCTACACCATTTTTTTTAAGAGCTTATTATCTGTGCATGTCCAACATTTCTAAAATTTTTCCTTTCAGAAAACGAAAAGCTGTATGTCCACGTTATGAACCAGAAGTTGGTGAACGAGTTCCATATGTAATTGTTTCCGGTGAACCAAATAGCACTTTGATCTCATGTGTTCGTGAACCTGAAGAATTCGTTTTCGATCGCCGTTTAAAAATCAATTTTGAATATTACGTAAGACGTCAAGTGCTGCCTGCACTACATCGAGCTCTTGACCTTGTCCCAATCAAAATTGAATGGCATTGTCCCACAACTGTTGGTTGCTACAAGTTTGTTCTTCATATGATTGAAATTTATTGTCAGTAAAGAGGAGAGTGTTTATACTGAATATTGAGTATTGCACCGCAAATATGAAAATAGGAACAAAAAGAGCAAACACAATAATTGCGATATTTTTGATCAGATTGAATGTTTGTATTGTAGTGTGGTTGTTTAAATTCGTTGAGTTGAGTGATTGATATGTACACTGATAAATTTTTATTTTCAATGAGAAAATATAGTTTCAGTTGTGGAGCATTAGGTACACGATTATGGTGCGGAAAATGCATCATTGACCCGAAAGCTCTTTTGTTATCAGTATGTGATTATTACCGAGAGAGGCGCCTGCTCGCTCAGCTCAATGATAAATGCCGTAAATGTTTATGTAAGTTACAGTTTCCAAAGCAATAATTGTAACGTAATGTTCACTATTTTCTTCAGGCTTTAGTTAAAACTTTTAAAATGCAAATCTTTACCTGTATAAAAATATAAACTGGGTCAGAATAGTACAGAATTTTTATCGAGATGTGGAGAATTGCGGTCATCCGTTAATTATTATGTAGCATAATGTGAGGTTAAGCTGGATGCTACACATTTTCTATGGCAGATATTTTCAATATATTTTTAAAGTAACGTGTGACATGGAGCTGAGCGTAGAATATCGAGAACTTTGAATAAAATCCTAGTTCTTCAAGTCGTTAATCAGAGCTGTTATGAATTTTATGCAAATATTCATTTTTTTACAGCATTACGATCAATTAGTATCGATTATAACAAATGTGTCAATATGGCTTGCATCGTCAAGCAAAAACGAATTCTTCTAGACCGTTCAGTGGCTGAATTAGCAATAAGAAATCATTTTTTAACAGGCGATAAATCTTGCCTGCAAACATAGGAATTTTGAAATTTTCTTTCATTATCAAAATATTCAGGAAATAATATTTTATCATGTGATAGTGCCATTCAAAGTGTGATATTTTTGCTGAAATATTTGTTGGTATCGTTTTTGCCAAATAAAATCCTTGAAAAAAACTGCTGGGAAAAGTTTTACTTGTTCATAATGATGATCAGCACCGAATTGCTTAAACAGATGAAAAACTCTATAATATTAAAGCCTTTTTTAAAAATGATTTTGGGTGTGCATTATTAGTTGCCAATCTCTCTGGTGAAATGATTGCGGGGGTAATATCCACCTGTGGTATAACTACCTCTAAAACTGTTCATATCTCTCTGGCTAGGCTTATATTATCGTTTGTTTGTAGTAAAGAACAGTCATCCGATTGTTTGTGCTTTCACCTAATTTGCAAGTTACATATAATTGTACAATTCGTGGTGCTCAAAATTTTATTTCAGTTACTTCCAAAAAATAAATTCTTTTCGGCATTGCTTGTAAAAATACCAATTGCATTAAAAATTTCTTTGAATTCGTAGATATTTTTGTATATTAGAAAATCTTGAAAGAAAATGTTCACTGGGAAATGTTAAAATCGTGTAATAGTTTAAATTGATATAGCCAGTGTTATTTACTGTCATTTACCGCCTGATTACGATTTACATCATTTCCCTGAAAAATAGTACCAACAAGTTTTATGAGATGATTAGCTATTTTATGATTTCCATGGCTTCAAAAAAAGTTGACAATCATTTCGAAAAAATGTTTGGAAGTTTCATGTAAAAAATGGTTTGATCAAATGAAATTTTATCGCAAATGCTCTCAGAAAAGTGTCAATGATATCCAAGTGAATAATGGCAAAAATGATATTTGGAGAAGGGTTATATGGAAAAATTCGACTGCAAGGAATGCATTCACAAAATATTTCGCTAAAGGAGCATTTGAAAAAAATTCAAACTTTCGAGCAGATTTTTAAGCGAAGATGAATAGTTAGAGGTTATCTTTAGAAAAATATCGAAGGGAAGACTTTAGAGTTGAGTTTTACCTTAATAAATTCGTGTGCAATCCAATATTGCACTTTCGCAGATAATAAAGTCATACACAAAACAGATCAATCATCGTATAAATTCTGCAATAAATGCTTTGATTAATTTTACTCTTTCTAACTTTACTGGAACGCAATTATTTCCAAAGATTACGGATAACTGCTCATATCTTTTCAGTTGGTCTCCAAAAGTTACCTTTACGTAGAATATATTACCTTTCGAGGTAAATTTCTCTATTTAAAATTTGGGATCGGAATTAGTTTTAAAGTTTCACAAAGATTTTGCAAATCAAATATTTGTTTTCCTGTATTAATTTTTCACTTCAGTTCAGTTTTCTGAAGCAAATATGAATTCGAAATTGGGAAATGATATTATCTTCCCATTTATTATGTCCATATAGATATGGAAAAATGTCACTCCTCCTTTTTTCTCCCTCTCTCTTCCTCTTTCGCTCTCTCTCTCTCTCTCTCTCCCTCCACTTCATTAAAATGAAAAATACTTTTCTGAAATTTCTCAAATAATGTTTATAGTTCCTGAAAGTTACTAAAAATTTTGAATCATTGATTGCAATTATAAAATATTCAGAGTTTCTTTTTTCTCCAGGAAATTCAAAGCAAAACAAGGCAATAAATTTATTTATATGAAACTTATCAATTCTGTAAAACTTAATCTAATCAATTCCATATAACCTAAGCTTGCAGTCCTGTACAATAGTAAACTTAACAATCCTGTATAGCTCAAGCTTAAGTAAGATATCGTCAAGTATAAATGGCCAATAAATTATCAAAACTTATTTTCTATCCAGAATTTATTATCTTTCAACAAAAGAAATTTACCCTTAGAGGGTAATACATTTGATGAGAAAGTTATTTAAGAGTAAAAACTTAGCTCTACTGGTTAATATGTGCACTTGTCCGAGATCTACCATCGAGATTACCTGAACAGAAAGATGAGCGCCAGTCATTAGTGTGATAATTGATAAAACCAAAAATCATTGATCATATTAATCTTTGCTAATGTTTGGACAGACTTTTTTGTATCGGTAATCAATTATTGGCATTTTTCAAGATGAATTTTAGGTAGGAATGAATTGAGGATGGATAATTGATAGTAATAAGAAAGATATTATTTTAGATAACTAAAAGGTATCTTTAAAAGTTTCAATCGATCATAACGTTTGAACATAAGAAGGGCATAAATGAAAAGATGTTAAAATCTTAGAAAAATTATGGAATATAATTATCAGAGATTTTTTTTTTTTGACTGTAATTTTTTCTTATCCATCAGTTTTCTTTCTTTAATGATTTTTCTAGAAATATTTGCCAAATTTAAAATGGAAATTGAATTACGAAGACGAGTGTTAGCGTGTATTGAGAGGCATATATCAGAAATACAAGTGGTTATTATTGTTCTCACTCGTGAACTTGCCTTTAAAGTATGTGTGAATTTCTCACTTCCCATTCAATTCAGGTATTTTAGGAGAAATTGCAACTTCGCGAATCAATAAATATTTTGTTAATTTCTACTCTTTCTTATTGTTTCTTTTATTTAATCAATTAAAAAAAAAACCTTCTGAATTAGTGAATTATTCATTCACACTTAAAGTTTCAACTGTTGCTTAAGTTAAATTTATATTTCAAAAAATTAATTTTATAATGCAACAGTTGAGCAACAACTCCAAACGAGAATTCTTTTTTTTTCCAATATTTGAAATTTAACAATTCTTAAAATTAAAGGTAGCAAGACAGTTAAATAAAGATGCGGGAGAAATGAAATGTTTACCGTGTGTCAATGATCGACGATTTGAAATTCACATGGAGGAAATACGGCAACAAAATTTTCCGATTGTGGTTGGTACGCTGGGAAGGATCGATTTGTTTTTTTATCGAAATGCATTAAGTAATTTAAGCATTTCCCTTATTAAATTTAAGCATTACCACTATCAATTAACTGTAATTACTATTAATAACTGTTAAAATTAGGGAAAAAGTTTGTTGCGTTATTCTGAATTTTTATTTCAATAAATCTTTAATGCTATTAATCACTTCGATAACTTTCGATAAATATCGATGATTTTTTAAGTTTTTCATTCCAAGATTTTTCTCAACAACAAAACTGTTTATTGTTATTGTCCGACTTTTAATATATCGATGTGAATAAATTTGTTTACTAATTTTGCAAATTAATATCATTTAGACATATAGTTATCACAATATAAAGAAATGACTCATTCGATGACTCATTATAAGCATACTGTTATATTAGTCCAAAGATTTCGGGAAATTTTGCTAGGATTAAGGAATCCGCATTTTTGCATCATTTTTATCGTCGATCATTGATAATCCAATGCTTAATATATTTTGAGTATATCTAATTTCTTACATAACGGATAAATGGACTAATTGTTTGGTAAGCAAAAGGAGTTACAAATTTTTAATTTGTATTCAAAATTTTTAACAGTTACAATTTTTTTTTTAGGTCTAAAATAAAAATAACAGTAGAATTTGAAAAAAAAAATATTTTCCAATTTTCATATAATAAAACTTTTTTGCAGAGCCAATATTTATCAAAGAACTATTCATTCTCGATTCTGCTGCAATGGTCAATTTTCCACTCAAACGATCATTGGAACGAGTACTCGGCTTTATTCAAAAACATATTCATGTAAGGCATATGTACATATTTCGTAAATTATAATAATTATCTTCAGCTAATAATTGATCATTTCATGATTGTAATACTTCAAGCATTAGCAATATTAAATATTTTTTGTTAAATCGAATTTACTGATTCATCTAATCCCGAAAATATCTCACAAATAAATTAAATTTATTTACACTAAATCAATTAAATTTCTTTATTGATGTAGCAAGAAATTCATACATACTTTTAATCTATGCTTACATGATTCATTAATTCTTATATAAACAATATTAATTTCAAAGCATCATATAAAATATCTGTTTCAAATTTTTTAAATCTATATAAAAATCTTTACATTCATTTTTTAAATTAATATACTGCATAATGCATACAATATGCATCAAAATAACATTTCTCATTAGCGCTATCTAAAATTATTCATTTTAGATAACGTTACATTTACCACCCAATAATTCAATTGTACGCCAAATAGAAAATTATATTGGAAATGTTTCTTGTCATGGCATACATCCGGATTTGATTGAAGCGAATCATTTCGCGTTACATGTTTCCAATGAGGTTTGTCGTTGAATAAAATGTTTGTTAGGTATCATATAAAATACTCTCATCAGTTATAATCTATCAAAATATATTCTATTTTTTGTCCATCATTATCTATTAATTAATAGCAGGTGGTAGTGTGATGTAAGCTAATTGCATAGTAAACAAATTGGTACATAATTTAATGCCAAACAATACAAACAACCCAATTGTTTAATTAGTGAGAAAAAAAGAAAGCACACTATTTATAGTCCATGCATCCATTTTTTAGATTCATAAGATAGAAGAAAAATTAAATTTATCTTTGCATTTATAGAATTCACGATTTCCTTAACTTTTCCAAGATAAAAAAAATAGGCTAATTATACGAAAAAGATTTATGATAAATTTTAACTTATTAATTTATATTTGCAAAATTTTACTTAACAAAGTTCAACAACTTATTACTTTTTCGTGTTCTTTTTTAGATGCGAAAAATGGATGCATTATGCGATCTTTGTCGAATAAACACATCAGTACCTATACTTATTTGCTGCCGCATGCAAGGAACTGCATTAGCGAATGCAAAAATATTGAGAGCACAAAATTTACCAGTCGTTACACTGGTTTGTCATTTTGTCATCCCATATAAATAATAATTTCAGTAGTAAATTGAATATCAAATTAGATGGTAGAAAAAAAAAATATTCGAATACAACATTATGCTATTATTCAAAATAAATTTCACTTGCACATTTGAAATTGTTTCGATAAGATTTCGCAAATCGGATTCTTTCCTTTCATCCCACTTTTCTCTAGCTTAAATGATTAGTTTTATTACTGGAATGGAATATAGCTATTTCAAATTCTAATCTTATAGTTACTCCAAATTCTAACCTGAAATTAGATGCTCTCAGAGTTTTTTTTTTTTTTTTTTATAATATTCCATATGATCTCTCTCTTTTATAAACTTTTTGCGAGAATTCCACTTATTTTTTTACTCTACTACCTATTTGTTCGTATGTATAATTGAAATATATAGACTAGTGAAATGTCATCGGACGATATCCGCATTGCTATAGAGACATTCGAGTTATGTCAAGTGCATATTATGATAGCAACCGGATACATTCGCGGTTTGGTTGATTTGAAAACACCAATGATTGTCATCAATTATGAATTACCGAAACCTGATGCATATGCTCGAAGGTAATGAATGTGTTAACCTGCAGATGTAAATTTGAAATCATAATAGATATCAGGAATGAATACGATTAAATATTCCTGGAAATTTTGAACTGGTTAATAAAATAAGAAAAAGTTGAATCAAAATTCATGATGGAGAGAAAAATTTTTTGATCATTTTTAAATAACATTCTCACTTAAAGGAACTGTCTGAAAAATTACTCGAATCAAATGCTCAACAAATTTCATTTTATATTCAGGGTCAACTTCACAGGTGAATCCTGGATTGCGAGGCATACAGTTTTTATATCATTGATTAAAATGACTGAAATCAAGAAACTGTGTCAGTTGAGAGAAAAACTTGGCTTACGATGGATCCTAATGTATCCCGATTGAATGTTAGTTATAGTTCAAGATGATGAACTGCTTTTGAGAGTTCGGCTTACTCTTAGATTATTAATTCATACTTCGATTTACTCTCTGCTATTTTGCATTTTGAATTTCTACATATTGAAGTTGTAGTTAAGACTAATTGCAAAACATTCATGCCTTCCTAATATGATCTTAATTACACTCCGAAAGTATACATATATTTTAACATACTTTGAGTATGTGATGAAAATTTTCTTAATCTATATGAGATATGCTAAATACTGTCTTACTGCTATATTGTTTCTTCTTTCGGATGAAGTAACTTAAGTAATAGAAATTTACCCCGAAATAATCAATCACTAATCGCTTGAAATTAAATTGGTCCTTTGCCAAAGAATCTCCCTTTGAAAGTAAGACATTATTCTCGTCGAAGTGACAGCTATCACCCGTACAATAAAATTCAATAAAGCAGTTTGTGCTTGCAAAATCACTTAAGAGTGATCAATTTCAACTGAAATCCCTGAGTTTCATAGAGAATCATGATAATTTCTAACTTCCAATTCAATATAACCAGCACTTTAGGTGACCATTCCTTTCACTTTAACTCACTATAAAACTTATCAACATCTTATTTGTATTTTTTGTATTGTCCTGGAATTAATTGTCACCATCTCAATCGATTAATTTGTCCATTACAGTAAATCCCATTGAAACAAAGAGCATATTATTTAGTTAGTTTATTTCTAAACGGTTGTTTTGAAAGATATTGATAAACTGTAGAATTTCGATATGCTTTTCCAACTTTCTGATTATCTGCGCTAACAAGCTATGAAGGAACGACTCGATTTTTTATGAAGAACACTCTGTTACAATAAAGTAGAACATTTCGTAAATTCAATACGATGCTTTTTGAGGGTGCTGCCTGTAGTTAAATAAAGGCGTAAAGAGCCAAAAATTTTTTCCCTGAACTCTGATATGAATTAGAACTGAATGCAAAGGTAAGAACACCTTCATTCTTTTCCTTGAGAGAGCCGGATAACTTAAACTTTCAGCTTTTGCATTATTTCTCGTCTCTTTGTAGGAGCAAAAAATACAAATCATTTTATGACGGCAAGTACTTGATAATCTTCCACTTTCTATCGCCTGCATTATCTATAATACTAACAATAAAGTAGAAATCAAAAATCGAAATAACTACAGCCAGCATTTAGAATTGTTTGATTGCCATGGTACCATTTTGAAATAAGTGGGCATTTCGTTTCACTTCAGCCTCAGCCTGAAAAATAAAAATGTCAAATAGATCTTGTGGTCTTTGATTTCTTTCACTTCATTAGAATTTCCGGTCTCTTTAAATTAGGATGGGTAAAAAATTTTGATACGATGGTCGACACTAACCTCTTCGCCAAGCTTTCTGGGCGGTGGCGGTCGAAGTTTATCGGCATTAAGATATAGAAGCATTAAACTCGACAGTTGAATTGCTGTCGATAATAATGCGAGTCCAAATTTGGCCTGTAAAAACCAAAACCAAAATGTTCGAATAAATGAATGATTACTTTAGCCATAACACAAAACCAAATATGAAATCCAAATACAGTCGAATAAAAACATAGCTGCATATCCAAAAAAAGCCTAATTACATGTAATCAGCTTGTTTAATATGCGAAATGAGTAATTAAAACAATTAACCACATAGTGGGTGTGATTAAGAGGATTTAATTTTATTATATATATATATCAATCAGTTAGCTTACAAAAAGAAATCCTTATAGCAAAAAAATCTATGTAATTTGAACTTCATTTAATATTTCAGCACACTGAAATGAATCCTCATGTCCTAGTTTCTAAACTATGATTGATAAAGCTTCCACATAATAATGATAAAGTGGAAACCATACCGTAAACATAAACAGATAGGTAAGCAAATAAATTAGGAATTTAAAATGTTCAGTTATTTATAATTCAAACACAGTAATATGCGAGAAAGAGGAAGAGAAAAATGTAAAACAACCAACATGGTGACTGATAAATCGAGCTGGAGGTGCATATAGATGGCCCAGATGGAAAAGTCGAACACTCGAAGCGATTCCAAAGGTAGAGACTGCAGATTTCGTCGAATAAAGCATCTCTCACCTCGTACCTACAAACAAATGAAGTTAGAAATGTGAAAAATATATGTAAAAATGCGACAAATTTTCTTCAGACAAAGATGAAAAGATTTATGCGAACAACTGCCTATAAAGTACATATAAGAGTATTGGAGAAAGTTTCAATATTTGTTATACTCTTATCCAATAAGAGAATGCACAGGAAAATTTTATGTCAAGAAATGTCTTAATTTAACCAAGATTTTCTTCCGCTGATCAATGTAATCAACAGAAAATCCTGGTTAAATTATACCCATCAACGTAAGCACGTACTTTTACCAAACTCGAAACTACTACTACCATCATGACCTGATTTATAACTCGTTTCTACATCAACTGATGTTGATTTTTTTTTGTTTTTTTTATTTTGAATTATGTGATATCAAAGAAAAGTTCATAAATCCCGGCCCAAAACAAAGTATATTTAAATATAATACTTAACTTTACAAGTGCAATATCTTTCAAATGTTCTTCAGTTAAAATGAATAAGCTAGAATGTGTATTAAAAAGGGAAATGTTTACAACAAGAGTTGTAGAGAGATTTGTCCTGTTCTGTCCACACCTAATTCAAATTCTATTAATTTTCATCGAAATTTCCAAGTTCGAATGCTATTTTCACCAAGCAAATATTATATAACGAAAAATTGTTCATGCTAAAACATAAACCGTCAATAGTAACCAACCCGTACTCTAACCAAATCAATAATCAATCTTCACTGCAATCAAATTTACTAATACAAACCAAGCATCGCTATGTTACTTTTATATTCACCACTCGTATTGCTGCGAAATGTTTCCGTTTCAAGAGGGTTACACTCATCATTTTTGTTCTTAATACTATAAAAGTAAGTATTGCATGGGAGAGTCATTGCTTATATGAAGCAGTAATGTTGTTGGTCATTATTCCAATTTCTGGACTTAGTTGTAATATATACAATACTTTCAGATTGGATGAAGTGGTAAATGCTGCCGAATGCTTCAATCACAATGTTATTAAGTATCAACAGTATTTTGTATTATGAACTGATTTCGGATTTCCGACATTCCCCACTGGAAGAATTAATGCGTAGAGGGAGAAGAATTTAAGATACATATTGGAAATTATCCTTTTTCGCAGATAAATTTGATTTTCCATCATCAATTAGTGGAGTTTGTATAAATTCATATGAATTATTTCCTATTATGAAATTATTCTGACAGTTAAATGATTTATATTTTTGTTTAAGAAAAAGCTTCATAAGAGATATAACTTAAGTTGTCTGGCCACAAGATTCTACATGATAATGGTTTTGATTGTAAAATTACATATTATTGACCCCAAATTTGTGATGTATTGATAGGATTAGTCGGCTTCATCTTAAGAAAATCGCCGTTCCTATCAAATATTAAGATTGTTATTCACTTTAACCTTTGACTTTTAACGGATATATAAGCCCACATCTTAGTTGAGGAGGGAGTTCAGTTCTACTTGCAGAGTTTTTTCTTCACATTCGCATCCAATGTTGTCTCGTTTGTATCATTAACTATCTATCCAACCCAATAAACCACATCAGCAACCGTGATTTCTCACTACATCGAAATCAACAGTATCTGGAATAAATATTCCGGACCAAGACTCAAATCTAGAACTCAAGCAAACTCATCCGATCGTGTCTCAAAGAAATACAACTCAAAGAAATCCCATCTCAAAGAAATACAATTGACCCTATAACGTCAGAAGAAAATCTCTCCAAAAAGAAAACCTTCACAAATTCGACTGTGCCACATGACGACAAAGCTCTCTCAAATCAGACCAAATCAAACAAATCCATTCAAAGCTCTCTCAAATCAGACCGAATCAAACAAATCCATATATTTTTGGTTCCGCCAGCCGGGATGTTCGCTATAATAATCAAAGGAATACAATCGACGATAGAAAAAAATAGAATCTCTTCTAGAAGTCAAAGAAATCGATCTGATACAGTTGGATCAAATGCTGACCCGAGAACTTTGTCAACAACATAAGGCCAAAGAAAAGAATTATCGAAGAGAAAATAATGTGCTTCCAATTATATGTGAGCACACTTAAGAAGCCGAGTAATCAATACATCACAAATTTGGGGTCAGTAATATGCAAGTTTACAATCAAAGCCATTATCATGTAGAATCTTGTGGCCAGATAGATTAAGTCGTATCTCTTATGAAGCTTCTTCGTAAACAAAAATATAAATCATTTAACTGTCAGAATAATTTCATAACATATAATTCTCATGAGTTTAGTACAGTATTTTGTATTATGAATTGATTTCGGATTCTCGACATCTGATCGATCTCCGCCATTATCTATATCTATAAGATTATCTTTTTTAACGTGTAAACGACGTCGATGTAAATTTAAAATGCTAGTGACAATTGAAAAAAGTCAGAAAAACAAAGAATGACTACAAGATGACCTTTCGACAAAAATATTTATAAACAATATAATGCAAAAGGAAATAGAAATAATCCAATGACAAAATTCGTACAAAAATAAAAAAAATCCCCTGTGCTTATTGCAGAGAAAATTGTAGATAATTCAACTTGCATTGAATTAATTACTCTGCCTTTAAACATTATCTTCCCAACAATATAAAATCTCAGAGGCAAATATTATTTGCAATAATAATTACTGAGACTTCAAAAAGGTAAAATGCTGCAATTTTAAAAAGGTTAACCACAAATTTAAATTCAAATTCTATACTTCTGAAGACAATGCATTACTGCTTGCTGTTTGCCAGCAGGCGTTTGCCTACAGATCTTAAGATTCATATCCTGACAGCAAAAAGAAGAGGTACTATTTTATATGGAAGTCCAAACCAATACTGGTAAACAAACTGATAGCAGGATCTTTAGTTTTTAACACTACCGCGACAAAAATACCTGAATTATGAATATAATAAATTTAAAAACTTGACAGCAAAAGACCATTCAATATGAGCACATGTGCAAAATAAAACAAAATGACAAATCTGTTATGATAAAGAATTAACAAATCCTCAAAGCAGGAAATGGAAAATACTACCAAACTCAAAAAATACCAAGTAATAACTCAAATTCCGAGGAACTTACGATTTTTAAATTCTCTGCTATTCGAAATGGTGAAAGCCAACCAGATCGAGGTTGGCACAAAGTAAGAAGACTTAGAAAGAAGTTCAAAGCCAAAAAACTTTGAAATAAGCACTAAAATCTTTTTGAATGAGGGAAGGAAAATCAATTTGTTTCAGTTCTTCAAAAGTTCGTCGGATAATATTACAGTATACATTGGTAATAAAAAAACTATAATGTTTTAGATAAATTTTTTATCTAAAACATTATAGTTTTTTCCGTACATTGGTATTTATATAAACAATATAAGCAAAATTTCGCTTCGATAAATCACATTCAATCAGTATACCCTTCAGAACTAAAAATACTTCATACAACACCGTTGCAAGGTTGTCGTTGTCACCAGATTGGACTAAACAGAATAGCTGCAATACAAAAAACTAATTTAAGTGGGTGTTTGTCATATTCTGCATAGTTGTATGAAATTCACTTCATTATACCTGGAAACTAACTAATACGCACTATGCTGACAAGAATGAGCTAGTATTTACGTAAAAATGATCCAATTAAAATGAAGGAACTTAAATCAATTTCAAGAGAGCAGCCCACGCACAAAAACACAAAAGAGCTAAAGCCAACAATCTAATATAAAAGTCAATTTTAGCAAAAAACAGAAATTATTTTCCACATATATTCCCAAAAACCTTACATAAAAGTTCTTCAAATATTGAAAAGACCACCATCAAAATTCTTTACTCCATTGTTATGCGTCTTCGGTTCTGGAGGTAGCACAACTGAGGGTATACTGGACTGGACAGTGACTGTTGCAAGAGCCGAGGGTATTACACCTAGTGGCCCACTTTTAAGTCGTGATATAGCCGATGAATTCATGTTGAGTGACTGTACATGAGTAATATCAGCATAACGCGTATTGCTTGATACCGTAATACCACTAGCAGTAGTGTTGAGGATGCGACGTTTGAAATTGGTATCCGTTGATGGATGTGGAACACTACTTGTACGCTTTGCTAAAGATCTTGCAGTAGCAGTAGACTTTGCAGTAGTACCATTTGTTCGTGGAGTAACCGCTCTGATATAATGGCTAGTTGTAGGCCTTTTAGTCATATCATCCTTCATAAGTTGTCTGTAAAATAAAGAAATTATTTGCCGTTACCTTTTAAGAAAAAGGAATATTAAAAGTTCATTATAGAAGAAAAAGATCGATAATTCAAAAGCAGGTTTTTATGATCGCTAACTCAAATGCTTGACAACTTCAATGATTCACTTGCGAGCACTTATTTCGCAAATAAAATCTGCTTTTTTTAAAAAATTTTTAAATCCAATATTTTTATGCGCAATTAGATATTATCACTCCTCCATTTTCGCTTTCTATTCCAAAAACATAATTAAATTTTAAAATAATCCAAATAGGTTTCTACAATCTTAGTGTCCTTACTTTTAAAATTTTTCCCATCCTTTATGAAATCCATTAATTCAATCTGATTTGAAGGTCCCAAATCCAGCAAAAATTTGCTATACAGCTATAACTTACACTTCTCTTCCTTGGACTGTTTCACTAATGCGCTGCAAATCGCTTGCGAAACGCGAGACTGCGTCACGCAAATTACTGGTATCCGAACTCGTCCATTTCCTGGAATTTCGTAACATAAAGCAGCACCTTCCCCTTCTTTGATCTACCGCGAGCTATTTCTCCGAATATGAAAAATATTGGGAAAGAACGACAATGCTGCGAAATTGCCGAGGTCACCGGATTCGACCATAATATTTCTCCCAGCACTGGTTAAAACTCTAAGATTTGCTCCGCCATTCCCTTACCATCTTTCCATTTCATTTAATTATCGATTTTGTTCAGACCAGAAATTTCCAGATATGATTACATTTTTCTACAATTTGAATAAAACAAAAAATTGCAGATGATGGCGCGATAGAATCTATTGTTGAAATCTATTTACCAATCAAAAGAAAAAAAAAAAACCTTTCGACTCCATTTTTTGGATTATGCAAATCTGCAATAAGTCCACCCAACTTCTGAAAAGCTTGTCCAGCAGTCAAGAAAACTTCCGAAACCTGACAATGAAAGCTATTAAGCTATTGGCTTCACATTCTACTATCAAATTATTATCCTAGTAAAATATATCAAACACAAAATACACTACAAAAGAAGCCAGTACAAATGGTAAAAACGTACGAGCAAATCGTCCAAATGCAATCTTACTGTTCAATGCAAGAAAACATCAAAGCCGGATTCTCTCCACGGCAATTCCTGTTACTAGTGTTTTGTTAAATACTCTGTTTGTTCTGGTAAACCTCTTTACTCTTCTTAAACCTACCAGCAAATTAACAAGCCAATGCAATATAAACGATATATTAAAAAATTTTTAACTTAAATTGGTGATCTTTATATGCATGTATCTGTTTAAGATACCTTTTGAACAGAGGCACCTGAATTAGCTGATTGTTCCGTTAGATCCTCCGTGGCGGGCACGGATGCACTCGTCGAGGGTATCACGTCATTTTGACGGCTGTTCATTTTGCCCTTCAAAAAATTAATTTAAAACATAAATATGCTTTTTTTGTCAATACAAAACAATGGGCGCTTTCCTTTGTTGAAGCACTCCATAATAGTAATATCCTCAACTCTGAACATCTGCCCTTGCCAGGATATGATGATGCAACCGCTCAGCAGCACTCCTTTTATGTAAACGAGCATAAACCGAAAACAGAATGGCCGCTATCATACACCTTGTTTACGCAGCCCATGAATGAAACAGCCCATCCCAAAGTAGAAGAAAGAATAGACATCTTTCAACTTAAGAGAGTACATTCCCGGGATATCATAGTAGCTTTTGCATTCGGCGTATTTTCTAAAGCATCTACTTACCCAAAACTCAATAGCAGTAAATTATAACATCGAGAAACGTCCAACACGTAGACCATTATTCACTACATCAGCGCAACGAGCGTACAAAATTCGTTTAGATCCAAAAGAAATACAATAATGACAAAAGCATTGAAGAACTATTTTCACATTTGATTTTTGATGTTTTCTTGAATATAACTAAGCAGTTATCAAGGTAAAACTAAAAATCAAACAAAGCTATACATCCCAGCATTGCTTTTATCGTACAAAATTCATTCGAATAATGAAACGCGACTTTTGGGAAATCTATGCAAAAATTTCCGAATATTATCAACATTGGCCACTGATTCCGAACAGACTAATATTCACCGTGAAATTTGCAAAAAGGAACGGAGCATCAACAAAGGTAACAAGAACTTGGAAATCTGTTTCTTGCTATTCTTACATGGCGCGTCATGCATGTTTAATAGTTTAAGATTACATCTATAGAAATCATATTTTATTGTTGATTTCCAATTACTAGTCTACAGAAATACTTCGAAATGTACAGTTACAACATATAAATCTAAAAAGTGCTAAATTTCAAACAAATGCAACAAAATATAATATAACAAGAAATATAATTAACCAGAATTTCACATTCCATTTCTCTCTCGCTTCATAAAGCAAATCTACTCTCCACCTTGTTCAGTGGTTGTAGCATTAGAAATGACCATAAATATTAGTGCTGCAGCTATGTACATCCACTAGAATGAACATTACTTGTACTACTAATTACTTCCTCAACAACAGTTTGCTCAAATTTTATAGAAACAATACAGAAACTGAATTCAAAACTTAAAGACCATTTCTTTTAATTGAAGAAAACAGAAATTTTTTTGACTTACATATTTTTGGATAAAAGATCGATTGTCTTGCTGAGCTCCATGTTGCCTAGCCTGCCGCTCTTTCTCCATCTTTCGAATATATGAAACTGTATCAGGCCTTAACGAGATCATTAGCATATGTGTTCCGAAATATTCTTTGTTTGAAATTAACAGCAAAACTATCCGTACTTCATTAATTATTATTCAGTTATTTTTATTAGTATTTGCCTACAAAAATTATTAGAAGTTACAGGGGCAATTCGTTAACTGTGTTCACCACAACCGATCCTCTTATTTTGCTGTCCTCTGCAAATGAATTTGTTTCACAAAAATGGTAATTTGTTCCAACAGAAAATAAATTCTCCGGAAAAACAGCCAAGGATTGCAAATCCTGGCGATCAGGTTCCAACAATATCCGAAAATGATGAGCTCCATTAGCTCCCAACATCAAACACTGCAATTTGATGGAAATAATCGTTTTATTTTCAAAAGGTTTTTTTCCAAAACTTCCATTAGAAAAATAACTTTCGCTACAAGCAAATGTTTTAATAAAAGAACTGGCATTATCAGTATAAGTATAGCTTTGAAATTTGTCAAAAATCCTTCTCTAACTATCCGACGTTACGCATAAAATATAAACGGCAAGAACTTTATTTTAATACCTTCTAATAACCGGTGAACCGGCTACTACTCTTTGTATGCAAATATTTTATAAGTTGATTCCGAAGAATTTAGCTGAAAATAACTAAAACTCACTCACAGGTTCATTATAACCTTGTACATCTCCTTTATCGCTATGGGCTTTAACGCGGTAAGTCCATCCATTTTTTGCAGCTTGCAACAGATCATTCTTCCATTTACTTGGGTTAACAGAAGATTGGAAACGAGCTGTACAATTATTATCAATTGTCCTATCCACAATTATGCTACCAAGCGAGATGAAATCATCTATAGCTATAAATAAAAAATAATACTAAACGAAAGCAAAGCTTCAGAAACATTTTGATGACAGTCCAGACATTCTATCCGCATTCAATCTAAAATGGTTAGCTTCTAAGTTCCTTCTGCCAATCAGTCAAATCTTGACAATTTTTGATATTAGTATATCTTTATTCCAAATCTTATAAAGTAAATTATTCCTTTTCCCCATAAATATGAGGAAAGTTATGCAAATAAACAAAACCTGAAGCCGAATATTGTAAACTAATACTCCAATGACCAACTGTTTGAACGTACTGTATGAACGCACTTGAACATATAAACAATAAAATAAACATCCTGCAATTAAGCTTTCGACTTGGACATTAATCGTGCCACAATGGTCCTCGGAAAATTCCTTCCCAATCTACGAATTCAAATATTCCGGAGCATAGTTTGCTACCAATGAAAAAGTGACTATGTAATGCTTACCAGAAATTTTTAAAAATTAAACTATGATTTTCTTAGGATACTGTTCTAATTGATCTTCCTTTTATCATTATTCTAGAAAACATTTCGTCAGTGAAGAGTGAAGTTTTTCTTAAAAAAAATTTAGCTGAAACCCAGTATTTCATCATAAAATTCAAATAATAAATAGCATAAGATAAAGCATTTGAGCAATTGAATCGTAAGGAATTACAGAAATTTCAAATCTTATTTGCATGTTCATATAAATTTACATCCATTGAAAGTACAGATACGAATATCACAGTTACATAAAGTATGTACAATTGATTTTATAAGAATTAGGAAACTGAAAAATGAATATATCTGTGACAACATTTCAACATAAACAGATTGAAAGTGAAATTTTGAAGCCAGTGAAATGAAAGCTTCATAATCTTTAAAAAAGATGAAAGCTTTTTAAAAATTCCCGCCAAAATTGGAAAGTGCAGAATTTTGGAGGATCTTATTAGCAATAAACGAGGAATAAAAAAATATTACAATAAGCTTCATGTCTGGAAATCTGAAACAAAAAGTTCCCATACGGCATAATTTCCAAAAGTTCGACGTCCTTTGAATCTTGCGAGATCTTTACGAGTGATAATTCCACGCAGCTAAAAATATTTTCCATCAAACATATAATAAATAAAAATTGGAATCTCAAATGAAATTAGAGATGAAATCTGATGAGCTCCTGGGAAAAAAAGACGTAAGAATCACTTTATTTTCGTCGTCAACGACAGCTATATATCGCAATCCCAATCCACGAAAGAGATGAAATATCGATGGTAGTGAAGCACTCAAAGGTACACGATAAGGACTTGAATGCATATACGGGGTTAAATCGAGCCAACAATTTCCATCTTCTTCAGACAGCTGTATCTTTGTTAAATATTCGTCATGTCTAAAAATACTTACAGTTAATACTTACAATAAGAATTCTAAAACAATTATAGTCTAATTCTAAAATATCTTAACTTGGATATTCGTTTGCGAAATCAGAAAGTCGAATCAATTCGTATCCATGTACCGCAACTCGACAGTCAGGATCTTTGTAAAAAACCTAAAAATCAGAAAGGAAAAATGACTGTAAATCTTAGAGTAAATTGAGTTAGCCTTTACTTAGGAACTTCCATTTAATTTGATAGTGCCTTGAAAAATGTTAATATGCCGAAATGTGTAACGAGATTTGGCAAGAAAGTGTACCATTCTTTAAAGTATAGCCAAGTAAGTGATAGTTGATAGTTGACTGCACTTCTAGATCACTAAGAAAGATAAAGAACAGCAAATATCAAAAATTCCTCCCAGCTTAAATAAAAAGTCCACAAGCAATGCTGGACTATTAGCTTACTCGTTTCTTAATCAGAATAATCAGCTGTGATTTCAGAATCAATCCCTTCAAATGACCATATTCAGGTAATTCTTCTTCACTTGACGGAGAATTAATTTCATCAATAATGGGAAAACCATGATGTGACGTAGCATTTAAAACTTCAATCACGCGTGAAACACGTTCTTTCGGCATCATTGTTACTACATCTCTCCTCATTATATTCCTTGAAAGTTTTATTTTGAGTACTCATGCAGAAATAATTATATGCATAATAATGCTATCTTCTCAAGAATAAGCCAACAACGTTTTGGTTATATCATATATAAAACATAGAAGAATGTAGCAAATAATTTTTTTTTTATATCATTAACTTTTTATATATAAACAATTTGCAATCGTAAATAAGACTATGATGTATGATATATTCTTATAGAATATTCGCTACATTGTAAAATGACTTTTAAATGTTTATAAAGAAACTACCCTGCTAATATGTTGCGTGATAGCTCTGGCGCACACCAACCCAAAATCGGCACCTCATTCAATTCAATATGTGCATCATAGAGACCCTGGAATAAAAAGCATAACATACTTCATCTAATAAAACTTCTATAGCATATGTCTTTGTATTTACAAAATTAATTACCTCATTGAACAAATCGCCAACCCATTTGGTAACCATAAGAACAAGCATTATTGGTAAACCAAATGTGATATCCCTCGTTGCTTCAACGAGAATAGCAGTTAAGCTAATTGTCATCCGCACAACACCACCTAGCTGCGCTGCAGCTCCAGCAAGAGCATATTTACCAGGATGTATACCAGTCTGCTCGAAAAAATATTTAGCATCAACGGACAACAAAACATCAATAAACCTTGAAACCTAACAACTAAAAAAAAACTGATTGATAGAACTTATAACTTACAATATCAGGGAACATGTATTCGACGATAACTCCAATAAGGCGACCCCATGCTGCGCCTGTTAACAATGTTGGTATGAAAATACCGCTCGGTACTGACAGCCCATATGTCCACAACGACAAGAAATAATACTCGACAGCAAATATCAGTAGTGTACTAACCGCATAAGAATCTAATAAAAGTAAAGATTTCAAAGGTTATTACCACAAAATAATTGGATTGACATTTCAAAATATTACTTTTCTTACAGTCTTCCAGTGAAAGAGAAACAAGAAAACAGAATTGTAATTTCTTCATAACATTTCTAAAAATAATGAGCTTACTTGCTGGGCTGTGAAATAGACTTTTAACACTTTCCTCCGGACTTTGAAAAAATAGATTTGCTACGGCGCTATACTGACCCTTACGGCACCACAACTGCAAACTCAAATTTATTTGTTCATGGATAAATTCATGGATGTCAGTTCAAAATAATGTTGATTGTCCTTCAAATTTTTTTTTGAAAATCTAAATTTTGTTTTTTTTTTTTTTTAAAACGCTATTTAAAAGTTTAAAAATTACATAAACATTTCAAATATAAATCGTAGTAAAAGAAGTTCGTCATGATTAACCTTTGTAACCTCTGTTAACTTTGGGTTACGGCCGACTGGTTGACAATCATTTACTAAAAACAGTGTAACAAATCCAGTAAATGCAGATGCTGCAGCTACAAGTAAACATTCCATCAACTTCTGGCATTTGCTTCGAATATATCTAAAAAAACCATAAATTTTCAAGACATTAAAAGAACAATTTAAACATAAACTTCTCCTTCACTTCTCGTTAATAAAACAATACTATGCTATCGCTTCCAAACCATTATTTTTGCAATATTTCAAATCATAACTAACTTTTTCCTGAATCGTGAAAGTTTCAAATTTAGGAAATTGAATAAAGCGCCAGAGAGTCCTCCAAGAACAGCAATGAGAAGAAAGATCGGTATTTCCCAAATATTGTAGCTATGATTCTAAAAAAAAGACATATTTTGTTAAAACCAAATAAACCTTATTATACATATAAATATTATTAGCAAAAAAAAGACTAATAACTATTGAAAAATAGTTCTATGTGAATATCACCTCAAAAACGCCGAAATTTGCTAATCCATTCCACGATAAAAAACCACCAACTCCATGAAATACGCTAAGAATGCAATTCAAAGTAAATGATGATATCATCGCAGCGAAGAACTGAAAATTTGTTGAATGGAATCATGCCGGAGGAGGAATGATCATTATACCATAGTCATAAGTTCACGAGCCAAGAAATTAGTTAAACAAAAAATGGATGAGTAAGAAAATAAACCATGCGCCATGTTAAACTCTGATTCCAAAAACTAGTTCCTTCTTCCAGACTGAACAAAACTCCACCAATTGGGGCACCAAAAGCCGCAGCCACTCCAGCTGCCGCACCTGCGCTCACAAAATCACGCTTTTCACTGAAAAATTTTTTTTTTCAAAAATAAGTAATCTATATGAGAACTGGTATCGATGTCGAAAAAAACTCTACCGATCATTCCGGAACTGTTCAAAAATATGAAAGTCAAGTGAGAAAGTGACACATTTGCCTTGCGAAATACCAGCTGCGACCACTGCACCAGAATGAATCATCGGGCCTTCCTATATTTACTCTAGATAAAACTTATTATTAATATACATAAAAAATAAGCTGTTTCAAAAGTTCAATAAATAACCATTCAATAGTAATTCCATAAAAATCAATGGAAACAAATATAGACAATATTACCTTTCCAGCACTTAAGCCACCAGCAACTGTACATGCTACACCAAATGCCTTTGCAAACAGTGTTTTCAGTCGTACAACACCTGGTATTTCTATACCATTTAGAAAACACTTGACTTGTGATATACCTGCAGGCCAATCAGTTAGTGATGAAGAACAAACATATTTAATTAAAACTGAAATCGTTTTTTAAGGACATTTCTTAAAGTTTGTAAAAAGTTAACCTGAACCAGCAGCAATAGGAGATAGAAATAAAACTAAACAAGCAGAAATTGTGATCAGAACGCAATTATAGCAAATCCATGCAAATTCTACTGTCCATATGCAACCACCACCAACTTCCATCCGCTTCTCACATACATTCAACACTAAAAATATGAAGAATCGACATCAGTAAAAATATGATGTTCAAGTATGAGCTCATCACATTTTACTGCAATTAACCATTAAAATTTTAATTATTAAAATCCATTAACTGTTAACTATTAAAATTCTGTCTATGTGACGCTCGAATTTACAATCATAGAAGATGAATCAGCAAAGTACTTACAACTGTTAATAATTAAGCGAAATTTGATTACACTGCTATAGTATATCGTTATATCTATGGCAGCAGCAACAATAGCAGTAAGAACTCCAATAAAGAAACACACAACCCATCGATTCACTGATTGGCGAAAAAGTTTTCGCTGCAAATAATGGATGAATTTTCTAACTTTGTACTTATTGATTAATAAAAGCTATCAAATAAGCTATTTCTACTTTATATAAGAAATTTCATGGTAAAGACACATTTGAAGATTATTATTAAATATAACATCAAGTATGTAATATTTCATACATACTTTTTATCAATCTAGTAGGATTTCTGAGTTCGAAGCTTCCCAATATCATGAAAATTTGTATAAAAAATACACAAGCAAACATTTTCTGCAAAAGATGAGAGCATACCTGATGACCAGTTTCCATCTCCTCAGCTCGATAGAGTTCATTTTCTACGATTTCATAATTCAAACTTTCATATCGCGAAGAAACAGCACCTTCTCTCTCTTCGTTTGTATCCGATTTGTACTGGAGAGATTCTTCAAATTCGCGTTGTAGCTGTTCACGATGTCTTCGCCTTATTTCTGCATTCTCATTCGTAAATGATGCTACTCTTTCCAGACCCGTCACAGGATCTTCATTTGGATCCAACCTAAAATTATTCAAAAAACCATCCAGTAGAAATTACTCATTCGACCTCCATACAACAGGAGTAATAAAATCATCACAGTAAATCATAAAACTTTTCATCAACTTTTCCTTTTTACCATATATCATAATATTTCTCCCAGTATTAAATTATCACACTATAATAATCAAAGTGGTCAATTTAAGGGAAAGAAGCTAAACTAACGTTGTTAATCTCGTTGGAGCACTCATATAGCCAGCAGATGTATAACTGACAATATGATTTACAGTGATAGATAATCTGAAATTAAATTTCAAATTATTGCAATTAATATGAACTATACCTATAACAGAAATAGAATAACGACAAAACATGAAAGAAGTTCAGAAATTATAGCTGGAAATTCAAGAAAAACAAAAAAAAAATTTTGTAATTTGACTTCCGGCCTCCTAACTTTAACATCGCTCTACCGATTATTCCTTTAAAAACAACTAAGTTTTTACCTAACAATGCTTTGAAAGCAACACTTCTCCCATCTTCTTGGCTCTTCTTATTCCTTGTGCTACAGTTAATTCAGATTAACTGACTTAAAATCCATTAAATCCATAATTTCATTATTAACAAAACAATTAAATGGTTATACTTTCCGACTCCAATTTACAATCATCAATTCTCATCAATCCATCAATCCATCATTCTCATCAATTCTCATCATCACGAATTCATCAATTCATCATGTGTCATCAATTCTCTACACTTTAATTTCCTATCAAAATTCAAACCAAACAGTATCACTAATTTCAACCATATTACAAATTTCAAAAAGTCATCTTCCCAGTAATACTAACAATTTCAATCTCGATTGATCATTTTAAAAACGCTAAAATTACTACCAAATTTTATGAATATCTACTAGGAATAAATAATAAAATTAAAAACATATCAAACATTACTGACAGAAAACTTTTCTGGAACAAAAAAAGGCTTTTAAATAAGCCATCAAATATCCCGAACGATGATTTCACTATAATTAGACGGAATAAGAAAGTAAATTTTCATAATAACCGATGACGCTTATACTGTTTGATAAATTGCTAGATTAATGTGTAAAGAAACCGAAAAGTTAAACTAAAATTTTACCTCTTCCCTTCCAAATTTGAGCCATAATTCAATAAATTAAATTGAAAGCTCACCAGATATCTGCATGTCGACAACAGTTATTAATATTGAAATTTTTCAGCGACATATCAATTTTGACCGATTCTCAATGATTGATAAATATTAAACATTAAAATGTTAGCTTTGATAATTTTTAACTAATTTTTCTTCTTGATGTTTGTTTCATGCAAGTTGCACTATAATTTATGAATTTTTCATCGAATGTATTTTCGTCAAATATTCATACAGTAATGATATATTACGATACATGAAGCAAGTAATAAATAATTGGTCCTTCAGTTTCATCGGTATTCGAGATAGCATTTTCCATGCTTAAAATCAATGATATACAAAAAATAATCTAATATCTCATATAAATCATTTATGAAAAACAGTTAACACCAACAAAAATAGATGATAAAATTTGGAAGGAATTAGTTTTGCAATAATTATGGTGAATTACAAATAAATATAAAATTAACAATTAAAAGCAAGATAAAACAATGAACATATGAGCACTATATTTAAGATAAGAGGAAAAAAACTGTAATTGATACAGTTATCTAGTTTGCATATACTATTTCCTACTAGAAAAACATAAATCCATATGCAATAATCACTTCACTTAGCAAGTCAACCGATAATTAAAACATTTACATGTCAATTTTTTCCATTCTTTTATTATAAATAAGCTAATATTTGTTGTTATTGGTTAGAAGAGAAAACAGAGGAAATAAGTAATTTAACTCTTTTCTAAACAAACGATATAAAAATCGTCATAATTGCTCTCGCAATTAATTAAATTCTAATACACAAATGATATCGGCTTCTAAGTCAATATGATTTTAAAAAAAATACAGAAAAGATACAAATTGACAACTAATCCTTTTCATTAATAACATTAAAAGTCACGAAATACTGCGCTGCTGCTATTTTATATATCCTTATGATAGGACCGTCGCAGATATATGGAATCTTCAGTCTTTTCTAAAAAAGTAGCATTGATAACAATAAATCTATGTTTTTTTATAAATGGATATTTTACGAAGTTTTTAGACTTCTTAATAACCATGTTTCAAACACTAACAACAGATAAAGGTTTTAAAATAGAACTAAGTAGTCATTGTATCAATTTCTGAGTTTTAATATCTTTATAAATCTTAGTTTTTGCAATATTTTTGTGGCAGAAAATAAGCATAAATATCCCACATATGGTTTATCGCTCAAAAGATGGCCCTAAATTGAATGGGAATGAGTTTCACTGCAACCAACATGAAGGCTCCTCTAAACAAGTTCAAGATTAGATATTAATGGTACAACAAAAGTGAATATAAACAATTCATTATGAAAAAAACTGAATCACAATCAAAATTAACCTTCACACTCTCATATCTTTTTAGAAACGAGACATTTCAGTTATATAATTCTCGAAAGCTTTTTGATGCCTTTCAACAACCAAATCTCTTATGTTCTGATCATTGAGTATTTCTAATAACAAAATGATGGCAGCACTATTACTCTGTACACTTGTGCGATCTCCACGCTTTTTTTTCTCATAATCCTGTACCTCCATTGAAGTTAACATATTTGAACTACCTCGGCTATTCCTTTCAATTTCATTTAAAGGGATCGCACTTTCAGCTGCTGAAAATTCAATAAATGAGGTGCTATTTCCAAAATAAATAATTTAAAAGGATTTGTACATAAATGCTTCTATTCATTTTTAGAAAAATTCGAATAATATTATTTATTTAATGTTTTCAGTAATTAAATTCTTTAAAGATACCAAAAAGACCTTAAAACAAACTTTTCAAAATGAAATCTTTGATTGAGAATATACCCGACTGATTAAATGTTTTATTCCACTGCCACAGATAAAGTTTTGGTATATTAATCGGTGCACTTCTAGCACCGAATTCAACATCATTCGCTGTACCATCCACTTTCCATACTCTAGTTGAGGATATATTCTGCAAAAATAATATCACAGAATTAAAAAGCAAAAGCAAAGTTATATTCAATTTTATCAATATCCGGACAAGAACAGCAGATTACACACTTCTTGACATAGAAATCAACGATGGTAATACATCATGGAGATTACTTTATGATAATATAATGCATCACATAATATAATGAGAGTGATGATTACAATATCATAAAGTAATAGTAATAATGATGATAAGATTTAAACTGAAAGAAAAAGAATATAATAGAAAGTGCTCAAATAATTTTAGCATTCGTTTTGAGACAATAAAATTTCGCTTCAAAATTTAAAGTCGAATGCTCTAAATTATCTTGGCTAAAAGTGAATGCTATCAAACATTTGCATCGCAACAATCCCTGTTTCATAAAAGTAAAATAATAAATTCACTACTAAAAATTAACTTACATCATTCAACGTGACCCAGAATCGTGTACCAACCACTGGGGGCCATGAAATATCGGAATCATAACCAAATGCGAATTTATGCAATTTGATAATACCAAAGGGTGGACACAGAAAAGCAGCTGTAGCATCTTCAGTTGAACTAGGATGACGCTCACGTAAAACTACACCAAGAAAACTCTATAAAAAATTTTCGTTATGCACCATAATCATGACTGTAATATCATCCGGTTAACTGAAAAAAAATTCAGTACCTATAAAAAATTTAAAATCAGACAGTAAATTTAAATTTTAGGTTCAAACTTCAACCCAAAAATTCTTAACTGATAAATGAATAAAAAAGAAGCTAACATGATTATTTTGTGTTTCCGGGATTATGACCTGTTTTGCGGTTCTTATCAATCTATCTCCGCAAGGATGGGTATACCCTCGAGAAAAGACTAAGACATCCTCTAAAAAGAATCGAGAAAAATTTTATTCTCTGATAAACGAATAATCAATGCCTCTAAATTTTCCTTCGAATTCCAATCCTTAAGTATCAACTCATACTTCGATAGCTTAATTATCTACGTTTATTTATAAATAGCTCACTGAAAATCAAGATAATTTTTTGTGAAGCAACTTACGTAATCCAGAAAACATCATATTAAGTAAATACACAGTAGTTGTGTATTTAAAAAAAACTGTACGCTCTTAGTTTCTTTGACGAATCATTGGTAGACCAATGATTCGATAAAATAATTTGCAGTATACTGTTTGTAGTAACATGAAAGATAAAAAAACAAAGTTACATATTTCAATATACATATATCAGACTAAAAATATATCTGAAATCACCATTTTTTAAAATCCTTATCCAATCTTCATCGCATGGATTACAGCACGGTCCAAGATCAATCGATTCTGGTCCGAAAATATATCGCAGACCACTCTCGGGGCATATAATTTCCCCATATCCATTAACGAAACAATCAAAATGTCCCAACTGAAATCCATCTCCGTCCTTCTGATGAAATAACGGTGATAGGCATGCATCTGACAGTGACTGAACTAACATCCCCGCGATATCTCAAGAATTATAATAATTTTTGAAGCATCAGTTCATTTTGATCTTGAATCAGACGATTTCCATCAGCTCAACTCTCCTGGTCAAAAATAATTGCTTTCTTTTTTACTTACCAAAGAAATAAAAGATTACATTTCTTTCTTCCTGAATTCATATAATCCCAAATAAAAAAATTTTTTTCACTCCAGTCAATTGTAATCGATTAAAGTAAGAAATAAGGGCACATAACGATGTGGAAAAAGTAATTTGATCAGAGTGAATAGTTTACAGCGGTAAATCAAAACCCGTCATTTTCTAAAATAATTTATTTGCGAAATAAAAACTTTTACAAAGACAGTGACCAACAGCATAACAGCTCAACACAAATCACAAGAGAAAACAGATCAAGAAACAGAGTCTGCGTTACATGATTAGTATTCTTTGGAAAAATTTTTAATAAACGCCTAAGAAGCTTTTTCATACATTTTTGAAAAATTCTAAAGAATTATTTATGTAAACTGCAAGTTGTATGTGAAAACTTGGATTCTAAAACTCCTCCGCGCTTTCTGTATCACGAATATATTCCTCCTGGAAACGTTTGAATTTTTCGATAAGATCTTCTAATTTTACTTCTCCCCTCACCTGCAAAGAATGAAACTGATAGAAAAAGCATTTCGCCTGATTTTCTTCCGCATGTAAGAAGATGTACACTAGTTTTGTTGAAACAATCGTATCATTGTCCTGACGTAGACATAATGTTTGCTCGATTGTGAAACTGATAGATAAAACGCAATTACTATTAACTTCAGAACTCCAGCTCTCTTTAACGGAATGATTTAATCATCTTCACTTTATCTATAGAGTAATATAAATTACTTGAAATTAGAAAAAGTACTCACTGCATTATCACGCGTACGAACATTTACAGTTCCATTTCGTGCTTCAGTTGGTCCGACCACCAGAATAAAATTGAATTGTGCAATCTGAGCATTACGAATCTGTTTATTTAATGTGTCTGATGAATCCGCATCAAATTCAACCTCGAAGCCTGCTTCATATATCTGCAAATACATTTAATGAAATTCTCCATAGAGTACGATAAATTGTGTTTTTTTTTTTATTTTTGAATATATGCTCTTCTAATCACTGACATTTCAAAATTTTTTTAAAAAAATTAGAATTTTAAAAGATCAGTGATTAGAAGAGCATATGTTCAAAAAATATCTAAAGACATCAAGATTAAACACAGTAAGTTTATTTGCATTAACAATCCCTGTCATCCTATGCCTTATCCACGCTTGTAGAAATATAAAACACAGATAAATCCCGAAATAAAATCTTCATCGAAAGGTAATCTATGATGCGTAAAAATAACGTTTTCGCATGATAGTAATGAAGCTATAAAAATGCCTCCCTTGAAATCCATTCTTCTAATGAAATACTGCAGACTGGCAAGCGCTTGGTAATGGTTCAAACTGCATCAGTGAATTTTTTTTTTCTGGTTATAATCCTCGCATGAATAACAAATTGTCGGCATACAGCTAACCAATAATCTACTTTTTGCAGAAATTATAAGTAAAATTTTAAAAAATGGTTAAAATAAAAAAAGAAAACACTCACTTTTTTCTGCACCATTCTACCATAATCATTTTGAGATTCATGGACTGTAATAACCTTTGCCTGAAAAAATATTCACTAATCATTTTATTCATTTCCGGCAATATTGAATACTGTTGAAAATTCAAGAGGTTGTTATTTTTCAACGGTAATCTCCTTCTCAAAGATGGTTTCCCCAAGACATCAAAAATATACTACACTAACAAGAAAAAGATTTAGCATCTTTAACTCTCTCATTCTATACTTTTAACTAGATCTTTTCAAAAATATTATTAGAAATTGATTACGGATGTTATCAACAAAAAAACGTTTTGCTTACCTGTCGCGGTGATAACCAAAATGGCCATTTGCCACCATAGTTCTCCGCTAAAATAGCAGTCATTCGTTCTATCGAGCCTAGTATAGCGCGATGAATCATCACAGGTCTTTGTCTCTCATTATTTTCACTAAAAAACTTAATTAGCATATTATAAAAGCATTGTATTTCTTCTCACCATAAAATGATAAAAACAACCGTTAATATTGCTCTAAGAAAACCGGCAATAAAGTAAGAGTCAGTTAGAAGAGAATCCGATAAACAACGTGCAAATACAACTGATCTTTATCTCTTCTGTTTTATGAAATAAAATACAAAATCAATGAGCATACTCAAAATATGATAAATCAAATCGGATAGGTAACTGAAAATCAAGCTGTATTGTTGCACACTGATGGAGTCTTCGAAGTGCATCCTGAATTGTGATATCAATCTGAAATATGGAATAAGATTAAACCCAGTATTGTATGTATGGATCTCCTCACGAATATGTAACGTTAAATTAACCCAACCTTTGGTCCATAAAAAGCACCATCACCAGGGTTCAGTTCCCACTCATGTCCAGATGCATTCAGCGCCTCTTTCAACTTGTTTTCCGCAGCATTCCTGCAATTGAACGCTAGGACTAACTCATTCCTCGCCAAATTATTGAAAGTGATTGCTTAAATCAAACCTATCTAATATTATTTGTGGTATGAAACAAATATAATGAACAAAAAGTTCCGAATTTTAGATCCCATCTGAAACTAGAATTGAAGGTAATGTCGGAAAAAGACCGCAACGAATTACTTACCATGTCTCGATATCACCCAGATATCCCACTTCCGGTCTGGTACTTAAGTTTAGTTTGAATGTAAAACCAAATACATCAATATAAGCATATTTAAGAAAATCAATACAACCCTATAAAAAATCCTGTCAGCGTAAAATTTCTTTTAAAATTTGTTTGCAAAATTCTTTAGAAAATTTAAAAATTTATAAAAGTTCAGAATATCAAGAACCTAGTTTAAATGTTTCAAAGCTCACCATTATTTCTTCAACAACTTGATTTTGCCGACAAAAAATGTGTGCATCATCCTGCTGAAAACGTCGCACTCGAGTTAGACCGGTTAGTGCGCCGCTCATTTCATTACTTAAAGAACAAAAAATTATCAAGTGTGCTTAGAAACCCAACTTCTATTAAATGTAAAACAATTAAGATCCTCCTGAATTTTTCATAAACGCCAACTTCAAAACTATTAAAAAAGTTAGTTGACACCAAGTTAGCATATTCAAATTACTAATTTTTCAATTCTTTTCCTACTTCTTTAAAAATTTGCTACTATCAAAAATTCTTTAAATCTTCTACCGATGTAAAACGCCGAAATCAGCGTATCGCAGAGGCAACTCATTGTGGGTACGCGGCATGTGAGAATACATCAAGCAATGTCCTGGACAGTTCATTGGCTTAAGTCCAAATGTCTCCTTTTCAATATCAATTCTAAAATACAAGTCATTTTTAATTTTTCTCGAGAAAAAAATCTGTTGCTAAAACTCTCTCTGAGTAATATTTTAATTTAATTACTGAGAAAAATTACTTGAACATATTATCCGAATAATGCTCCCAATGACCCGACTGCTCCCACAATTTGCTATTGAACATATTTGGTGATATAACCTAAATATAGAAAAGATTTCTGGCAATAAAATAAAATCGATACAAACAACCAGTAACCGGAATCATATAAATGCTTAAAAATTATGTATTCATGTACAATCCAGCACATCTTCCATCTAAATGTTAAAAGTATCACATAAGTTTTTGAAATAATTAAAAATACTAACTACTGAATTATCAAACCGCCATTTTTCTTATTTAAGATATTAAGGAAAATTTTTAAATTCATTAATAAGCCAAACAGATATAAATGATGAAACCTCAGTAAATCCACGTTTGCGATACTCTTTACGCATGAAATTACACAGAGAGTTGAAAATATAAGCTCCTTTTGGATACCAAAAAGCTGAGCCAGGACTCAGTGGATGAAAGAAATACAATTCTTGGTCACGTCCAATTTTCCTATGATCTCGTTTAGCTGCCTCCTCCTTTGAAAAAAAAAAATTAAAATAAAATATGTTTAAGTTTTTTGCAAATATTACCATAACTATTAAAATCATTTGAGTTATAGTGCAAAATAATATTAAAAGATGTGTTAGTCATATCTGCCTACTTGAGGCAATATTTTTTTGGAACTTTTAGAAATGTTATCTAATTTCATATCACTGAAAATTTGGACCTCAGTAAACAATATCGTTTCTGAAAAATACTACCGCTTGAATTTTGAAAAGTAATCATAGCGTGAAGTCCAAAATAAATTGAAATTCATGCAGTGTATCTCAGCGCTATTACTGCTGACTGCAGTCCTTGGAAGCCAGAGCTATGACTGAGAAATTCATCATTGTTTTAATGAATAATTTTGCACATTTCTGAACGTTCATCTCTGTTAATTTCGAGAAAACGCGAAAACATGTGCTTTGTAAAGAGATGTATTTTAACTACTTCTTTCCAAGATAATAAGGTAATTTAATGCAAAGTTTTTTGAAAAGATGCAATCATTGTTATCATCAAGTATCATCTACACTATCTTTTGTTTTCCATACCCAACTAACCTGTAATTTTTGCCAGTCTTTGAGTTGCTTCGAGTCAGGAAATGATATTCCATAAATGCGGATCAAAGACTCGGCATCCGATCGTCCTTCCCAGTATGAACTTGACGTTTTAGTTACAGTTAAAGCCTTAAATAAAGTTGATATGACCTGATAATTAAAGTTCTCTGAAAAATGGTAAATCTCAAATCACATCTACCAAAATAACAAAGTTCATTTTAACAATTTAGTACAAATTTTATCATTAGTATTCTTATCATCTTTTCAACGAATTAAAATTATTTAACACCATAAACATACACACTACACATGGCACAATGCGAGATTAGGCAACAGCTACGCTTACCTTCAACTCATCAAATTCAAAATTCACATAACAAGAACGTTGCAAAGCAATCCAAGAAAAAAACTCCCCCAACTACCTTTACTTTGCCAGTATGACGCACATGCGGTCCTCTACATAAATCAATCAATGGCCCACAACGATATACAGTAGTAGAAGGAGTTGTAATTTTCTCGTTTATGATACGGACCTGAAATTAAAAAAAAAAATCACTTCGTTTCAATATTGAAATAGCTTCAAACAAAATTGACGAAAAATAACAGTTCACATAAACATATGTTTACATAAACACCTACTGATACCTTGAATTTATTGTATTTGAACATTTGTAGTAAATCTTCTTTTGAAACAACCAGTCGCTCAAACGGCTGTTTATCCTACAAACGAAAATATATGCAAAAGTATCGCAAAAAGCATGATATACTATTATATACAAAATAATAATCGACAAAGATACTCATCGCCAAGTGGTAACTACAAAATTAATAGAATTAAAAGTAACCTTAACAACACATTTAATAATTTGCTCCAACTTTGGGAAATCATCTGGAGTGACTGCAGGTCCCTGAAACATTTTTTTTTTGACGGCTTTCTGGTGAATTACGAACTGAAAAATGATTTCCCGTGGCGTTAAAATTTATGAATAAGAAAATAAGAGACAATGAATATGAATATTGAATGAAAGAGAAAAAAATCATAACAAACCTCCTTCCACATGTCATAATAAAATCCTTCTGAAATCGGTGGACCATAGCACAGATGACCACCACAATAGCGCTCCATAGCTTCGCCCATGATATGAGCTGAACTGTGCCAAAACACCTGAAAATTCCGAGTGCCAATAATTATTATTTGTCTTTGCTATCCTAGGAGATATTTTGTTCAACCGAAAAACAGCCATAACTTTGACCAATTTCAAATTATGGTCCTGCTCGGTTTATACAGATATGCTTTCGCACCATTGATTTCAGAAACATCACTGATGAAATTCTGGTAATATCTGATGGTGCAAACATAATGCAATTAGAGAGGTCAGTTAGTCACTTTTTTCCAAACCGTCATTTACAAGTGAACGACTCCCGATACTTGAAGATGCTTTTCGATCAAGATCATTTAAGAAAAATGGAGAGAAATCTGCAATGGAGAGAAATCTGCTGAGTCATTCATTCAAATATCGTAAATCTCTTTATGTAGGCGGATATAGAAGAAATAAGAGAATAGAGATATAATATGAAAGGATCGAAAAATTTATTAAACTGCTCACTCACCTGTTTACCCTCTTCATCATCAAACTTAAGAATCTGTAGAGTTGCATTACATTCGAATGGTCTATCCAAATCCCACACCTGCAGACAGCAATTTAGTTAAATGAGACACCATTCAATTCTAAATAAAAAATTCGTATAAATTTCCATGCTTCTCGTGGAAATTTGAGCAGACAAGAATATATAAATACTTCAACATAAATTTCGAAACTGTATGAAAAAAAAAAACAGAAAAAAGCAGAACTGCTCCATTCTCTTTATAGGAACTGCACATTTTCATTTTAAAAAATTCACACTTATGCTAAGTGATCCTAAATGTGCATCGAAATCATATGAAAAAATTAGAACTGATAATAGATCAATCAAGATCAATCAAGAACTTCTCTAAAATCTGAAATTTTCAAAAAGAAACGAACTTCTCCATTAACTTTCGCCACAACAGCATTATCAGCAAATCCGCGACTGATCTGTTCCGCGATCATAAGTGGAGTTGTACGCCACGATTCCCCCTCCAACTCTTTCCCATCTGGCAAAGTGATTTTAATTTTCTCTGATTTCTGCAAAATTTACAGAGCTCAGAATTTACTTAGTTCTGAAGAGGAGAATGACTAAATTAATAATAAATCAACAATAAAATAATGTAAATTAGATATTTCCATAGGGAGATGTGAATAAAAGAAAAAAATACTTTCGCAGCAATTTCTTCAAGGTACTTTGCCATAAGCTTATCGAACAAAGCAATACGCTCTTCAATAAAATCGGGCCAATAATTCAATTCGACTGGAGCCTTAGTAATTTCCTGCAAAAGAATATACAATTAATAGCAATAATATTAAGAGAAAGTTCTTGATAATGGAAAAAAATCTTGACAACATAGAAATCGATTAGGAAAAAGTTATCAAATACTTAAGATTTCAAATGCTTCGTTTAAAGTTCCTCTACTCACTTTCGCATCTTTTTTTTTGTTTTTTTCAGTTTTATAAACTAAAACGTCAGACTTTCGTTGCCTTTCATTAAACAGCAGGTAATTCTTAATGAATACTCTACCAAATTATTCATTCAATAGAAAAACAAAAGCTATTTTCTAATATAACAGAAATGATTCAAACTTTATTTGTTGATCCTTTCATTTTATCACCAGCCATTTTCACTTTGGAAAATTTACAAATACTTCGGTTGCTGCTCAATTGTAGCTGACAATGGAACCTAGAAATCGATCGCCTGATATTGATGAAACAGCTACTGCGGTTTCGAATTAAACAACAAACGCTGGGTAAAATTTTCAGCGTGGTGAAATTCAATTCTAAAATGCAAATATTCATAAATTAGAGAGCATTGCCAAGAAAAACAAATATAGAACAAAACAATGAGTTATCAACATTCTTATTGAATTAAATTAACGAAATTGCAATGCAACGAATAAATTTGACATAATTCATACGAATTATTCTCTATGAAAGATTAATGGATGTCAAAAAATAACAGTACTAAGAACCGAGTTAAATTTGGCGGATATCAATGGAATGAGGTTTCTTACAATCAATTATCAATATCATTACAATCAATTATCAATAT